GGGGCATAGATGGAGGGTTTTTCTGGTTGTGGATTAAAGCCAGGGAAATTCTATTAATTTCTTTAAATTTAAACAATGCTTTACTCAATGTATTTAGGAATTTTCACTTGTTTTAGATAATTATAATTGTAGGAATCAGGAAGTACCATTGAAAGAAACGCAGATATACATATCCATAATTATGTTCCAGTGTGGCTTAGCATTTACTTGGCATTAATTGTTTTATTATTTATTTATATTTATTAATTATTTATATATTTATATTATATATTTATATTATATATTTATATTTATTTATTATTTATATATTTATAATATATATTTATTATTAAAAAATTCCCGCTAAAAATATCTCTGCCACTTGAGAGATATCTGCCCATTAAAGAGCCCCCTCCATCACTCATCCTTCACTGTACTTAAAGAGTATTCTCAGTCTCATCTCACAATCGGTCTTGGCCCTTAAATCCTCCCAATAGGGTCTCATATATGGTGTCCCACTTGCCTTTACTCCAATTTCTACGCGCTGGCTGCCATAAGCCGTCCGGGGCACAAAAGCCATCATAATAACTACACATCGGTGTTTGCCGTTGGATATATATATATTTTTTTTTCTCTCTTTTTGTTGCTGTGTCGCCCGTCGCCTGTCGTTGTGTGTGGTAAGGTCATAGGAAAGTAGGTTGAATATTTGCAATATACGGTGGAGTCTTGGCCCGCCTGTGCCCCTCCCCTTTAAACATATCACCGCACAAGTGTTAAAATCGCTCATCATGTCAATTCTCGCACAGCTGCGGGCAGATGAGATGTGGCATGTGGGATTGGCGGATGGGAGGCAGGATGGGAGGAGGGTACGCTATTGAACTTTATGGCCATAACAGCAGATGTACATACACCAGTACATTTATGCACACACACATACATATGTACATATACTCGTACTCGTAGCACACATATTTGTACAATATTTATATGTTTTCTGCGATGACAATCGCTGTGTTATGCTGAGCTAAGCATTTCGATCCATTCAATGGTACCGACCCAACAGGCAAGGAGGCACCACCGGGGCCAGCTGCTGCCTGCAATTGTTGTGGCATTTTAAGTCGGCTCAGATTGGAGTCGCTTTATATATATGTATATATATGCTGTCTCCTGTCTCTGTGTGTGTGTGTGTGTGTGTCTGTGTGTGTGTATGGCATTGGGGTAGCATCGCGCGCTGACAACAATTGTGGCAAATGTGGACGGGGCCATTAGCAGTACACAGATAAAAAACCGCAACTGTTTGGTTATTGGCCCCATAAAAATACCACATAAATCGAGTTAAACTGTACATAAAATACCAACTTCTTTGCAAGATTACAATGGGGGAGGGGAGCAGACTCGTAAACTACTACTAAAAGAGTGAATAAAATTGTAGGCAAATGCCAAAGTAAGTGTTTTTTTTTATGGGGAATTGTACTATGAAAATGCCAAGACTTAAGCACAATTTTGCACTTTCACTGAAGGGTTTTGTATACATTTTTCGGTTTTTCTGTCAGTAATTTTCGTAGTATTTTATTATTTTTTGACAATTTATTATAATTTTTTTTAAATGTATTTTATTAATATTGTTCTTAATTTTCCTAATATATTTATCCTTTATTATTATTATCCCTTTTATTGTTCTTTATTTGCTCAGTATTTTTTGGTATTTGTAAACCCAATTGGTATTCCCTTTATTGGCCAACTTCACTTAGCATTTCGTGCATGATATTTTTATATAGCTATCCCACAGTATGCATAGGAGTTATATGCATTTCTTATTCATGGGACGATAAACTGAAACCCCCGGCACATACTCAATCAACTGCCAAACGACATCAAATGTGGCCTGATTCCCACTGCGTGCCCCCACCCTTAGACTTGCCCCCCTTGCAGCCACTACATTCCTTCACACTCCTTCCCACTCGTTCGCTCTCTCTTCACTCATAACTGGTGCCCTGTGTGTGTGTGTGTTTGGCCCGCAGAAGAAAAACTCCAAAGAAATGCCACAAAAGTGTTTACATAGCGTCAAAGCAAAATATTTTATCGACACGCACATGGCAGACACCCTTGGCCCTTGCCCCCTGCCCACTCCACTCCCAGCCAGCCATCCAATCTTCCGATTTCTCCCGCTCCTTGACTTGATTCGCATGTTAACAACTACAAGGGGGGGGGGGGGGTGGGCAAGGGCATAAGGAGAAGACCAAAAAACAAGCAAGAGGAAAAGCAAAAGCAAAAAGGCGCAAAAAATTATTGCGCTTTATCTTTTGATTTAACCTTTTGTGCGACAAAAGCTTTTAATATGCAAATGACTAAATGAGCGTCTTGAGGCTATTGCCTGGCAGTGGTGTGGGGTGTGTGGAGGTGGAGTGTTGGGTGTGATGGTGCTTAGGTTTAGGGGTTGGTTGGTTGGTTGGTTGGTTGGTTGGTGGTTTGGTCAATTGGTACATTTGCACATTTCATTAACGCCAAAGGAAACTTCCACTTCACTCCCAACTTATGCGCTGCGCTGCGCTGCTGACGTAGCGAAGAAAATTCCTACACTTTGATGTTCTGCTAGCAAAATACATAGGCGTATGTGTGTGTGGTGTGTGTGTGTGTGCATTTGCTCAAGTGTTAGTGTGGCACACTTCAACACACTTATTCATACACATTTGCATATCATTATGTGTGTGTTTTTCGGGCCAAAAAAAAAGGGAACCTTGCCTCTAGTTTGCCGCTCTCTCTCCTTCATTGCCCTGCTCTCTGTTGCTCCTTCATTGGCCTGCTCTCTGTTGCCCCTTCATTGCCCTGCTCTCTGTTGCCCCTTCATTGGCCTTCTCTGTTGCCCCTTCATTGGCCCTCTCTGTTGCTCCTTCATTGGCTCTCTCTGTTGCTCTTTCATTGGCCTTCTCTGTTGCTCTTTCATTGGCCTTCTCTGTTAGCCATCATATTGCCTAGATTTAAGATTATGAGCTTGCCCTGAAATTCTGTGGCACACCACTGCATGTGCGAGTAGTCGTAGTACGAGGTGTAGTCCCCTATGTTTAGTATGTAAATCTCTATGCCACACCTCCCTCCCACACCTCCCAACCCAAAACCTCACTGTTTAGGCTTTGGGTCGCAGGTGGTTTTGTGGGTGGAGTGGGGTGGGCTATTAAGTCGATTTGCCTGCGGGCCCTGGCTTAAAGACTTTTGGCCCTGAAATGCTACAGAAGCCCTCTGCACAGCTGATTCTGATATAAGTTTATTTCGTACAAGTTTCGTTCGCAGATAAATGCAAGAAATTGGAAATTTAAACACGCCAAAACAGGGCAGCTTGTTTCTCGTTCTAATTCCAACAAAAGATTGGGGAGAAAACCCAAACATATCATTGGAAAAACAAAGAGTTTTAAATGTTTTAAATGTTCCCTGATAAATAAATGTTGTTTTTTTTCCCTGACTGAAGGAGTTCCCAACAGTTTAAGCAAATAAAATTCATCCGCAAAATTCCATAGAAAACATAAACATTTTTTGTTTAAAAGCTTGCCAAAATATAATTGAAATGCTGTGATTGAAAAATACAACCCCTTGGAGATCAGAGCAGTTTATTAAAGAGTTGGCTATCTACTGCCACAATATTTATACACACACACACACACACAAGAGAGACTTTCCCCACAGTAGCATTTTTCCGCATTTTCCCTTTCAACTTTTGATAAATTTTCTGTCAAACATTTTGACTCTGCAGGGCCCGAAAGTCAACTAAAACAAATTATATTTAAATTTTGGAAACATTTAAGGCCCCCATAGGAGCCATAAATTGTCTCAGTTCTGTTGTGGCCGCAAGCTTGGACCTCGAGGACGCTGCCAGGAGCTGCCAGAACCTGCCAGAACCTGCCAGAACCATGCCAGAGAGAGAGAGAGAGTGTGAAAGAGAGAGAGAGAGGGAGCTGAGAGAAAAGTTTTGTGCACACAGCTCCTGTCGTCTCATTATGCCTGCCATTTAAAACAAATTCAATATTCGCTATGCTTGGCTGTGGTGCGGACCACAACTTGCAACTTGGTCAACACCTTTGAACTTTCCCCCCTGCCCCCTGGCGGCTGCCTCGTTTTAGCATGATATTGAAAATGCTTCAGAGAGAAGTGACTTGATTTGGTCCCCCTCCCCGCTCCTCTCCATAAAACTATTCGCAACAACAACAGGCAACAGGCAACCAGGCAACAGGAAACCTCAAAGCCAACGCCAAAGCCTTGTTTCAAAAGTTCGCCAGGTCCCCTGGTTCAGGTGCAGGTCAGGGGGTCAAAAGTGCCAACTGGGGGGGGGGCAGGATACACAGAACAGATTTCTGTTACTTTATTATAAAACTGGGCTTAGTTCTTGGCCTAGATTGTTGGCCTGCTCCTCCTGTAGCTCTTCCCTTCTGTTCCCTTTTGTTGATGTTTCTGGTAGCAAATTTATGCGGAAGTTGCTGCTGCTGCTGCTGCTGCTGTTTGTTTGTTTTTGTTGCTTTTGTTGGGGTATCGATGTTTGGTGTAGTTATTGGCTGGAGCTCAACTCTGCTGCTCCTGCTGCTGCTGTAGTAGTTGCGCACAGTAGTTGTCATTATTGCTATTCCTGTAAAGGCGTTTGATTTGATTCGGCATCAGTTTTCTTTATTGCTTGAGGAATGAGGAAAATGCATGGCGAGGCAATTGTAGTTCCTGCTATAGGAGGGAGGTTCTACTGTACTTTTCTCACAGCTTTGAATATTTCTTATGTTTTTCTTTGTATTATCCTCCAATGATGTTCATGCTCTTGCGGCTGCTGTTGCTGTTCCTGCTGCTGCATCTTAAACCCCATTGTATCTGTATCTGTGGGGTTTAGCTCAAATTTATCCCATTTACTTGCCGCTAGTTTGTGCTGCTCCCCGTCTCTACATGCCCCATCCAGCAGCAAAAACCAAGCAACAAGCAAGAAACCAGAGAAATGTAAATGGCTTAAGCCTGAGAGACTGAGAGCCACTAAGATGAGCTGAGTGGGTTGCTGGCTGGTGCCCTTTGACTGTTGGCCTTTGAACAGAGAGGCAGAGTTTATTATTTGTATATTCCTTGGGGAGCACAAAATCTATCCATGGATTGATTAGTCTTTCGGTTTTCGATAGTACACGGTTCTGCCATTCACATTCTGGGCATATCGAAAGTTTGGCCTGTTTGGCTGACCCTCAAAGTTCTGCAGCTTCCAGAATTTCTTCAGCGCAGCTTTACTTATGGCCAGGGTCTGGGCAAACACCGTCCAGATGACGGCCTCCTGGCAATCGGGCGTCGTCAGGGAGCCCTTGTACGTGAAGAACTTTCCGGTATCGAGGTTTTCCAGTAATTGGCTCAAACTGAAGCTACCCGCGATATTTGCTTCCGCTTCGAATTTTCTGATTGCCTTCAGTTGAGCGACGATTTTGTCGATGCCCTTAATAGTGTGAACTGGAAACTGAAACAAATGCAATATATTCTAGTCGCAGCTCTGAAAACTGAAAATCGTGGCAAAAACTTACCTCTTCAGAGTGGAAAAGAACTGCAAGGACAGCGACACCATCGCTGTGCTTGACGGCTTCACTGAGATCCGAATATTTGGAGTTCCTATGGACGATATGCATTTCCAAATCCTTGCGATCATTGTTGATCCAGTGCTCGGCGCCCCGAAACAAAGAGGAACCCCAATGGAAATGGACACCATCCGCCAAGTATTTACCCTTGAGCCAGCCACCAGATATATAGGGTTTCTCGTTCTTCAGCGTTTCGTGTATTTCCATGTTGGCTACAGAATAATTGGGAATGGAATACAGATATTTAATGGATTATCTAGAGCCTACCCGAATGACCATTGTTCACCAAAATGAGTGGGCCTCTGAGTTTCGTATTGTAGTTGACCAAATTAATCCTTGGCAAGCGATGGTCTACCGCCTGCACAACAGCTATAAGTTGTTTTTGTTTTTAATGAATTTCCCTTATTTAAACTCACTGTTTTAACGTCCAACTTGATGGGGGATTGCTGCCAGCCCGTGTGGCATATGCCAGGCCAGTCCTCGCCGTGCAAATTGTAGTCCCAGTGTATCACAGCTGGAAAATTGTAACAATTAAAGCACTAACTGAGACGAATTTCACTTAAGCGAATAGCGTGACTACAGTCTCTCTCACCTCTCTCTCGTGTGGGATTGTTTTTGGAAGTAAAAGAAAGTTGCATATTGGATAATATTTTTTTTTAGTTAGAGTATCACTTGTTGCACGTTTATGTTGCACCTTTCACAGGTTTGGTTATCATTTATTACCATTAATTTGTGGTGGTGACTCCTGTGCATAGGCCAGAGGCAGAAATAGTCTAAGTGTTTGAATAATTATTAATTTTGGCATCTTTTTTGGTTAGAATATTATTTTTTTTTTTTTTGATGACGGGAATTGCTTTCATAGATCGCTTAGTACTAGCGGACTGGCAGCTGTTGCTGCTGCTACTTTTACGGCCTCCGATGCACAACTGAAACGCTTCGTTCCCCCTGCACGGCTCCGATAAGTTTTAGTTAAGATTAGTGCCGCATCAGCTCAGAATCGGTTACAAATCGAACACCTTATGCCATATATATTTTAGTCTAATTTATTAACAGCTGGAAATTTTACCATAATTCTGGCAAATCTGGCAAAAGAAGAAGATGCTCTGGAATAAATAAAAGCTCTTTGAAAAGCGAACAAATTAGTTTGTGTGCAGCACTAAAAGTACCTTTAAAGTACCCTTCCCTCATCTTACCTTTTAGCTTACTGAGAATATCGAAATAGCTGCTCTGTGGGTTCCAATTGCAGCAGTTTGCTGGAATACCCCTATTGCTGATACGCTGTTAATAATGCCCATACTCTAGCAATGCTAATGTAGTTCTTGCTACAGGAGGTTCCACTGCACTTTGTTGTTTCCGCTGCAGCTTTGAATATTTCTCAAATTTTTTGTATGGCTGCTGCTGTATCTTAACCCCCATTGTATCTGTATCTGTGGGGTTAAGCTCAAATTTAACCCATTTACTTGCCGCTAGTTTGTGCTTCTCCCCCCGTCTCTACATGCCCCATTCTGTGGCTATGGTCCAGAGATGCGATAACAATCAATAAGCCAACAGGAGAAAAGCAAAAAATAAGCAACCAGCAAGAGAAACCAGAGAAATGTAAATGGGTTGAAGCGACGACAGCAACGTAGGGGCCAGAGTTGGGCTAAAACCAAAATCATGTTGATACTTTTTGACTTTTGGCTTCTAAGAGAGAGAGAGAGAGAGAGAGAGAGAGACAGCGCCTTTTATTTGTATTCCTTACACAGGGAAGATGGGAATAAAGATGGGATTGATTGAAATAACTTGATAAACTTCATATTTTCCATAACTTTTCCTGCAAATTTACGTTTGCAACTTTTTTAAATCAATTTTCATGCATAACAAGTTTTTTTGCCGTCATCTAATTGAGTTTGATGACAAAATATTATGAAATTTGAATATTTTTAGCTGCTGGTCAACAGTTTTCGAGGTTCATGTCTTGCTACTGCCTTGAATTGAATTTTATTTAGATTTCATTTCCTGTCAAGTCTGTTGCCTGGTCGCCTGTCGCCCTGGCTCTCTGCCAATTTGTCGTTATATCCTTTTGTAGAAATAAAATCAAAAATATATAAAAAGAATGCGAAATTTGATTAAATTTGAAATGTAATATAATAAAAGTGAAATTTAATTATATTGTGCATTCTTTTGGGCTGACGTTCCTTTTTGGGCAGGTTTATTTTTTTTCGGAACTGGCATAAGGCCATTCCACAATGTTGTAAATGCCAACAATTCGACCGAAAATATAATCCTCCTGCAAAACCAATGAAAAGGTCAGAACAAACAACCGCAGAGAGAAGGAGCGAGGACTGTAGGGACTGCCACTGGACTGCCGTCTGACCACAGGATACACACTCACACACGGTGTACGATAATTTTCCAACAGCGGACTTAATGCGCAGCCATAATACTCGTAATTTTTATAATGCCAACCACACGAACACTACACACACACACACACACACACATACACACGAACATGGTAAAGCGGCTCAAAAAGTCAACCCACACACACACACACAGGGGACAGAAAGTGAGAGAGTGAGAGAAGTGGAGACAGGAGGCAGGAAGGCAGCCCAGAAACGGCTCATTAGGCTACGTGAGAGTAAAGGAAGGGAGAGAGAGAGAGAGACAGTGAGAAGTGTGTTGGGGAGGGGAATGAAAGCCGCGTAAAACTCGCATAAAAACGAACTTAAAATATCCTCAAATAAAGATCTCTTTTATCCCCAGGAAAAAAAAAAAATGCCCTAAAAGTATTTTGTTCCGCTGCTGATTTTTCCTCAACAAAATCAGTTTTTTCCTTTTAACTACATACATATACATATAATAAACAAAATAAGAAAGAAACATTTCCCCATTGAATAGTGCAAGAGCTTTTCAATAATAAACTTTTGCTGGCATAAAGTTTGATTGATTTCCTTTTTAGAAAAACTTTCCCTTCAAAATATCTGAAAGATATTTTAAATGAAAAATTCTTTTTAAAGTTTGACTCAAACTCATATTAAATTCAACAGAGCTGCCGCGGCTGCCTTTTGTGGCAGGCAGAGTTATGTTGCGCCATGCATTCATGTATGTATATTTCATGAGACTCATCCAGAACTCCTCTTTTATTTATTTTACTTTATTTTTTTTTCCTGCGGCATCCCTTGGGTCTTCATAAAAATTTTCACCACTAATGAGACCGACGATTAATCGAGAAAAAAATGTCAGAGTAAACAAATACTCACAACATTCCCATGCTCCCAGAGTGAAGGAAGTCCTTCATGCCTGGTGACGTGTTAATGTCAACGGAAAATGGCAAAACCTTGAAGGGTGGCGCCGGGAGGTGGGACTGTTGGCACTGGAGTTGCGTCATGCGGCAGAAACAGAACTCCTCGGCGATTAAATATAATTGCAGGTGGGCCTGGGCCTGGGCCTGGGCTCTAGGACAATTATGTCTGGGAATAGAAGTGGCTTTGGAGACTCCTTGTTAAATATCAATTAAAATGCCTGACAAGAAGTTAATCCCACCCTTTCATTTGCCACCTCTTGCTGCCGCTGTTCCTGCTGCTGCTCCTACTACTGCTGCTGCTGTTCCTCTGTTGCTGCAACAAAATATGCGCAAAATGCATTTGACATAAAAGTTGCGAGTGCGTCAAGTTGTTCACAAAACTATTGTCGCACATACCCCAAACACCAGCACAGACACAGGGACAACTAACACACACCCACACACACACACGCACACAGATACAAAATTCCATTAAAGTTTTGCATTTGAAATTGCATCAACAGAACCGGAGGCTTCTCTGTGGGTGTGTGGGGTGTGGGTGTGTGGGGTGCATGAGGCATGGTTGGGGGTGTGTGTGTGTGTGTGTGTGTGTGTGTCTGGATAGATGGATGGATGGTGTGTGATGGGGCGTGGCATTGTGGTGGTTACTGCCGCTGCAACTAGCAGGGCGGAGGGAGCTGGTGAGTGTGTTAGGGGGGTGTGTGTCAGGGGGTTTTGTGTCTGTGTAGCGGATACTGATTGAGGTTAGTTTAACCCTAGAAAATCCTGGTATGGGAATGTGGAATAGTGCGGAAATTAAAACTGGGAAATGGCTAGAAAATAGATAAAAATTGGAAATCACAGCAGGAAAATGGCTAGAAAAATTTGTTTGCAGAAGGATTGAATTTCCAATGAAAACCACGGATTTCTCTGTATTAATTCCCTTTCCCCTTTCTCCATCACCTTTCCTGAAAATTAAAATCAGTTTGCCCGCCCTTTGGTCATTAAAGGGTTAATACATGCAAAAAGGTTATGTTGCAGCTTCCTAGCACTTCCACATCATCTCTCCCTCTCTCTCTCTCTCTCTCTATGAAACGTTGTGTTTTTTTTTCTCTCATATTTTTCCCTTTTTTTTTTTCAAGTCAAGGCAAACCGAAAGCAAATGCAAACCAAACGCAAGTCAAGTCATGTTAGGGGAATAGGAGAGGAGACACATAGGAGGGCAGGGGGGAGATGCTAGGAATGCGAGCGAACGAGAGCAGAGAACAGAACGTAAGCCAATCAAGGCATTCAAAGAGAGCATATTTAAATAGCTTTTAACATGCACGAGCTGTCGACGGGCTTTGGGTGTAGTTAAGTGAAGGCCAAAACCAAAAGGCGACACAAAAATGCAGTCGAAAAAGGAGTCGACACCAGTAACATAGAGAGAGAGAGAGAGAGAGAGAGCGAGCGAGGAGACACCAGCGACGAGTGAGTTGATGGGTAAAAGCAGGGGGGGAAATTCAGGAGGACAGACAGACGCACAGGCACACAATTTTGAAAAGTGCCAGAAGCGGAGCAGAGTTTAAAGTCGTTTAGCAATGCTGTCGACGTGATGCATTTTTGCCTGCCACAGCCACATCCACAGCCAAGCCAAGCCAAGCCAAGGCATTCCTTTGATGCACCACCAGCATCAGCAGCAGCAGCACCAGCATCAGCAGCATCATTGCCCCAGCATTGAAGCATCGTTTCAAATGCATTGGAATTTTTCAGGCAGACAAATGTGACGGCTAAGAAGCTAAAATTGCCAGACTAATGGCACCACCCAGAAGAGGTGTGTTCCAGCAGATTAATGAGAGCTCTGGGAATCGAAATGGGCAGGAAATATATAGAGGAAATTCCTTTTAAATACTCTGCCTGAATGATAAATTTTTATTAGAAAGTCATTTCAGAAATCTTAAAAGAATACTAAACATAAGCTTGCGCAATTTTAGGGATTTTCTTTGCATAGATTCCAACTATTTTATGTTAATAAATTCCTACCTTATTTGTGCCCCAAAACCCATCTTTTATTGGGAATATCTTTCACTCAAAAATTCAACTAAAATCGAACTTCAAATGTATATTTTTGCAGCCGCATTTGTCGCTGCTGTTTTTGATGCCCAGCGTCAGCCTCTGTCCACAGTAGAGGGCAGTGCTAAGCAAACAGTGCCATCATAAAGTTTACACACACACACACGCACACCCTCGCATTCGCATACTCGTACATTTTGTTGGGGGGCATTTAAGCGCATATTTATTGTACAATGTTGCGTATGCGCAATAAATTTTCACAAAATTTCGACGCATTGTGGCAATAAAATGACATTTTTTCATATTTACACATAAAGTCAACGGCAAAAAAAAAAAACAGCATGGAATGAAGGGAAAACCATTGGTTAGAGGGGGGGTCGGAAGGGGACTATGGTTAGGCTTAGGGTTGATGGGGGAGCGGGAGAGTGAGTGGCAGAGGGGCATTGTGAAGGATGTTACAACGATTTTTTATGGCCCTTTTTGTGCTTTTGATATGCTCATATGATGCGCAGACATTTTTATTTATATCTACACATTTATCTATAAACATTTGATACGAGCCAAGCCGAGCCGAGCCCTGACGCGGGGCACAAGCGATGTGTGCTGTGGCTGTGGCAGCAAAAGCAACACAAAATATTTGACTGGCCGCACAACACACATGTGACAGCTATTGTTGGCTGCTTTTGATTTTGATGTTTTTTAAGGGGGGAGGGGGGCCCCACTGATTCAATGCCAAAATGTTGTTGCAGCTAAAATGCCGCATAAAGCCATAAAATACTGGAAATTTAAGTGACGAGAAACAATTAAATATTTCGCTGACTTGATGCAATAAATACATACAATGAATGTTTTGCTGTCATCTAGTAACCTTAACTTTTTTTGGTTGGGTATGCGCTTTTCATTAGCGGAGATGCGGGGAATGAAAAAAATAAATAAAAATCTCCTCTAAAGAAATTGTATAATTCTGTTTTTTTTACTCTCTTTGATTTTGTCTGTGTCTCAGTGTCGCTTAGCAAATCAGAAGCAAAATAATGAAATATCATGGGCTAGCTACCACGAGTCGATTTTTTAATAGACTTAAGGTTGGGTTATCTTTAAGATTGCTCTCTTTAGATGTGAAATCAGCTGTTGTAGTCTCGCGAAATGATTCGCAAAATGTCAGTCACTCGTTAATGTTGCCTGATGATACTCAAGAGTACCACATTAATTAGAAAATGATATTGACTGTAGAAATAGTCTTTGAAGTAAATATTTAAATGTTTACAAATATTTTAAAATGCAAGATAATTGTCACAAATATATTTTTGAATTTGGGTTAAGCTGCAATCTAAAAACAAAAGAATAAAGACTTGTTTTAATCCTGATATTAATCATGCAAATGCATTACTCTCATGATTTAATTACCATCAAAAGGTATACATATTTTGTTTATTTTGTTTTTCAATTAAATGGCAAAGCCAGCTTAAAGTTTGCCTTTCTCTAGCGGCTTTCAAAAGAGTTTTCTATCCGAATAAATGGAGCTACACGAGTGTAAGCTTTGCCCCAAAGCCTCATCCAAACGAAGAACAAACAAAAAATCGTTGCGTTGCACGCATTTTGCACATGCATAATAAATGAACATAATGAACAAGCTAGGCCCGTAGGCGGCTGTTCGGCTGCTAAGCCAATGGATGATGGAAATGGTGCGAGTGCTGGTGCGGGTGCGGGTGTGGGTTGTGGGTGCCCTGCAAATTTACGCATTTGTAATTACGTAGAAATTAAGCCGCCATCAACATTTAATTGCTAAAAGCTTTGCGCGCTCTCTCTCTCTCGAACCCAACCAACGTACATTTAATTAACAAATTTTACGCATTTATTTTCTATTTTCATGACGATGCCAAAACGATGCTGGCCGCCGCCACCACACACAAAATACCAAAAACGAAAAATCCGTGACAACATAATTTTTGGAACCACCCCCCTCGCCCGCCCACACACACAGTGAAAACGAAGGATGTCGATGCTGTGGAGGGTAAATCAGTGTCGCTGCCTTGCCCCATTACGGAGCCCCTGGACAATGTTTATATGGTCTTATGGTTTCGTGACAATGCGGGCATACCGCTCTATAGGTGAGTGTTGTGCTTCCCCATCCTTCCCTAGCCTACTCTTCCCTGTCCCACAATTGGACGTCTCCGACGCACTGTCTGGGGGCGGTGCTCGCTCGCACACACACACACACACATTTAATTAAATGCAAACGAGAGACGAGTCTCGAGTGTCTCGAGTGATTTCGAGGGGGAGTTTTGGTTACCTTTTCAAATCGTTTTTGTTGGCTAGTGGGGTGGGGCGGTGTGGAGCCCACAAACACAAACGCACATAAGTAGGCTACGATTTGAGGCTCGTCCTGTTTCCGGTGGGAAAAATTGTTGCGTTCGTGCCGGCAGGATGTGTGATTTAGCTTTTTCCCCTGCTGCCCTGCCCCTGCCCTTTCCGCTCCTCACCTCACCTCTCCTCTCTGTGTTTTCTGTTTTTGTTTCACATTTTTTGCCCCTGCCCCCTGCCGCTGTGTTTAGCTTTTGTTTTTCTTTGTTCCCGCGTCATGGAATTAACTTAATTATGTTTACCTAATTTAGAGTGATTAACCTCGGGGCCAGAACAAGAGGAGCCACAGGAATTATGTGTGTGTGTGTGTGTGTGTGTGCGTGCGTGTGGGTGGAGAGAGAAGGGAGCAGCAGCAGCAGCAGGATGATGGTTTGCCCACGCTTTAAAGCTTCAATTACGGAAATGGTCAAGTCAACTCAAGTCGAGGGAAACTCCATGCGGAAAGGCCATAATGAAGTGCCTGAAATTGCTAGCTCGTGGCTTAAGCTTTTGGTGGATAGGGGACTGTGGCTATACCTTCTAATTGCATTCACGGCTGCATTTTCATGCCACGTTGCTCCTTTTGGTTGTCAACTAAAGATTTTCCTTTCGTGCTATAAATAATGGCTGTTGTGCGAGGAAGGGCCGGGGCGGGGCTTTAGGGTATCCATGCCAAAGGGTGTACTCGAAGCAGTGGGAGATTTGTGAAAGGAAAAAGTTTATTACTTTTTATTTATTTGATTTATTTGTGAAGCATTAAAGTGCTGTTGATTTCTGTTAATTTCTGTAGCTGTCGATTAAAGCGTTTTCTACTCACAGGAATTAAATTCTTTCAGGGAAAAAATAAATTTTAATTTCTATGGAATACACACTTTTACGTATTTTCCTGGAATCGAGAATTCTTAGTGTTTTTTCCGTGCAAAAAAAAAAAACGTAGTCAATTTTCCCTCAGGGTATTTTTCAAATTCAATCAGTCCGTGCACTTTATTTCCACAGGCCATGGACGGGTTTTTTTCTGCTTTCTGAACTTGCTCTCTCTCTCTCTCTCCTTCTCTCTATGGAGAAGCCTTTTCATTACACTCAATTTGCGTGAAAGTCCTGCTCCGAGGACTCCAGCTCGTTCTGTATTATTTAGCCATAAACATTTGCTGCATAGGCCCCTCAAAAGAACTGTTATTAACGTTGGCACTCCCTCTTTTGCTCTCTCTCTCTCTCTTTGCCCCTACCTTACTTGATTTTTTTTACCTTACTCTTTCTGCCTCTCTCTCTGCCTTAATCTTTCTGCCTCACTCTCTCTCCCTCTCTGCCTCTCAGTCCATCTGGCTGCCGCTTTCCTTCGCCAATTCAGTGCGGAGTGCAACTGTTTTTTAGTTTTTAATTAAAATGGCGGCGTAAAGAACGCACCAAAAAAAAAAAAATATGCCAAAAAAAATGTGGGTTAACGTGGGGGGGTTTGGCCCCTCTCATTGCTGCTGCTGGTGCACTTGAGCCTTGGCTACACTGCAGTCCGGACCAGCAATTAAGTTGTTGCATTTGCAACGAGCGACGAGAGACGGAGAGGCGCGAGGTGGCTGTGAGGCAGGTTCGACGGCGGCTTCCCGCATAAATTATTGTGTGTGTGGCATACAAAAGGGCGCTTAACGCTCTGTCGAAAGTGGCTGAAATTGCAACAACAAGTATTTTTGGCAGGAGAGAGAGAAAGAGAGATAGCAGCAGAGATAAAGAATGAGAGAGAAAGAGGGGCTACAGAAAGACAGAAAGGATGGAGTGGCAGGATGGAGGACCACTTCTGATTGAGAGACGACCCCTTCTGTCTGTCTGTCTGTCTGTCAGCCTGGTCTGTCAGGCAGGTCTTCAAAAATTCACGCAGTACATTTTGCATGCTTTTCACTCTTTTTCTCTGTAATTCTGGCAACAAAATATGCTAATGGAGTGAAAGGATTTTAAAGAGGAAACGAAAACAGTAGTCTATTATGTAATTACATTTTGTCATTTCATTTGTAATTAATTAAAAAACACAAGTATATGGAGTGCGAAGAACGCTTTTGATTTTGTTTCAATTTACATTTATAGGATAAAGACGCAAGCTACAAAAAATGTTAGCTCTGTTAGCTTAGTGTTTTTTTTTTATAATATTTTTAATCATTTTTTTTTTTTATCTAAAAAGCTATCATGAATTTTATGCATATTTTATAATACATTTCGGGATGTTGCAATCGATCATTGTTTCAGTTTCCAATGCTAATTCCAAACACTTTTAATATATATGTAATTACTTAAAAATCCTAATAAATATGAATAGCTGTTTAGTAATTTTTACGATGGAATTTATGCTCAAAATACTCGGTTCTTCCTGCCACTACCCTGTGCACATTTCTTTGCATTTATATTTTGCCCTAAAACTCACACAAAATGCACCTAGAAACTTTCCAGTTCTTTGAAATTCAAAACTTAAACCATTAAATGCACTGCAGATGCACAAAAGTGCACAAGAAATTGAAAAATAAAACAGCCCAAAAATAAGAGAAAAAAATTAATTGTTATCTGCAAAGCATAAATTGCATTTTGGCACACACACACACAGCCACTAAACGTGGGCTCCAATCCGTTTGGGCCTCTGGACCGTGGCCTAATGAGCAGGCCAAAAATAAATTACGCTAATTTTCGTGCAAAAAGTTCATGGGTGGAGACGGGGCGGGGCGACCTGCCTCGTGGAGCAGATTCTGGCTGAATTATATTGGCTATGGATTTCATTAATTTCAGAGTATGGTGCGGGAGGGGTCTGATTTAATTCGCGCATCCCAAGGTCCCACATTAAATATTAATGGGATGCGATGGGATGGCTGAATGGGTGTGTTCTCTCTTCTTCTGCCTGGTCTTATGTTATTTAATGTATTTGTCTGTTTTTTTCGTCCTCTCTTCGCTGGCGCTTTTCTCTATTTTTAGCTTCGATGTGCGCGATAAGGAGGCACGGGACCAGCCCCGACATTGGTCAGCCCCGGAGGTATTTGGCTCACGTGCCAAATTCCATTTTGATTCGCAGCCAGCAACCTTGGAAATTAAGGTGAGATTTTGTAAACCAACCCCCCACCCCACCCCACACCCCGCAATGATCATAATTCCCCATTAATTTGTGTGTGTGTGAAATTAGCTGAAAATTAAATATTTAATTGAATCGAAATGTGAGTCTGAATAGATTCATTCATTCATTCATTCAGCCATTCGCCTGAATGCCATTTTTCGGGGTCATTGTGCATTTGAAAAGTGGCGGGTTTTTTGTCCATGAATTGCAGGCGCAAAAAATGTGTTTCTATAGGAATATACATAAATAAATAAATGCACATTTTAAATTTAAATAAAATGTAAATGAAAAAGTTTTTGTGTTACAAAAAAATGCCTAGAATTAAATAGATACAATTTTCAATCAAATTTTGCGGTTTCAAGTGCATAAATAAAATATATAGAAATAATTGTATTCAAATAAAATGCAAAATGCAAACTGCACTTGAAATCACTCACTTGTTGTTGAGCTTTTTTAAATTGATTGATTTCAATCTCTCAAATATGCAAATAGTTGTGCATTTTAAAATTAAAATATCTATAAATAAAATAGTGGGTAAATAACTAACCAAAAATATACAAATAATATACAGAGTCGTGTTTAGTTGAGGCTCGTAATTAAATAAACAATTCTTTCAAATTATTATTATTATTTAAGGCAGGGAAAGATTAAATTAATCTGTATAGCTGGAGAACTTTGTGTGCCTCTGAAACCTCAGTATTATTACACTGCCTTATATGATTGGTTTAGATGCTGATCAAGAGTATTTACACTTTATGTGTCGAAAGAGCGAAGGCTCTTGAAGTTTCGGGGTATTTGACAGCGAAAAAAAAAACAAACAAATAGCTAAGAACATGTCTAAGAAGAGCTAAGAAGGAGTTCAACAACAGATACAGAAACGAATCCCCAAACCGAAAGCGAACCAAGCCGAACCGAACCCGAAATGGAATGGCATGGAATGTGGAAAACAAATTTAGATATCAAAAGTTGTTAAATTGCCTGGCGCACGCGAAATGTTTATTAATGTCTTGCATGTTTACAGATAACTTGATTTACCGTTACTGTCATGCAATACATAGATACAGCACACACACAGATACATGCTGTATGTATGTACGAGTACTTATGCAATGTATGTACAATGTACATCGTCTCGTCTCGTTTCGTCCTGGCTTTTGGCCCTGCCCTGCCCTGCCCTGCGCGTATGCCTGAGTGCTGTCTTTGCACAAGCATTTTGACTTTTTAAAGGCCAACTTAGTTAAGGTCTTAAGTGAGTTAAGCAATAAACAGGTACGTGGAGGGGGGGAGGGGGCATCTACTTCGCTAACGAGGTTGCATTTTGAAATGAATGTGAAATGCACACGAAGAGGCAGCCGCCAGTAAATTCCAGTTGCCAGTTGCCACCACACAAAATATATTCTCCTCTCATAATACGAAACGAACTGCGAGTGGCATCCAGAGCAGGAGCGAAGCAGCCCTCATGGATTGTAGCTCATGAATTATGTGCTAAAAATTGGTCTGGGGACCCAGAGAGAGAGAGAGAGAGATAGAGCTTATAAATGAATTTTAATTGCATTTCAATTGCAAGCCAATTAACTTGACGCTATTTTATGTGGCAAGTGGCAAACAAATGAAGTGCAAATAGTGATAAATGTCAGACAAAAAAGGTTTTATGGAATGCAGAAATGAAGTAATATTATGCTCTAATTATGTCTATATTTGTTTGTGATTATTTTCAAAGCGTAAATTGTGTTATAGGTTCAATGAACTTAATGTTTGATTCGGCACTAGATTGATTGTCAGTTATTTTCATGCACAAATGCTACCTGGAAGTGCTTTTCTTTGCACTAAATATAAGCCTGCAATAAATCTAGCAATAGAATAGGAATCTAATTGCTCATAAAACTACAAAGAAATTTTCGTAGATTTTTCCCAAATAAAATTAGAGCACAAATTCTCTTTGCAAAAATCAACATAGATTAAAATATGCAAATTTTTTTGTGGGTCCAGGCTCAGTCAAAGATTTATTCAAAATCCAACTAACTGAATGGCTAAATTTGGCAAGCAGAAAATGTCAACAGAATAAGCAAAAGAATGGAAAAGAAGAAAAGGTTTATTTTGTGGCCCAATTGAATTATTGAACAAGTGGAATGAAAGCCATTTGTGGACAGATAGATAGGCTTTCCAAAAAGCTCTCTCGCTGCGAGACAATGAACTAATAAAAACCACTTTTATTTAGAGAAAAAGTTATATAAATTGTCCAAAAAAAATCAAACGAAAATTCAAGTGTCAGAAGGCAGGTAAAAGCATAGCCAGAGCCTGGTTGTGCTCAGTGCTTGAGTGCCAGACCACACTTGAGGCTTGGTACTGAGAGCTCAAGTGACATGCAATAATTGAAAATTATATGGCCACAGAAACGGCTTTGCCCAGGTTGCAGTAGAGCCTGGCCAGCAGCGGCAGTAGGTGCAGTAGATGTGTGTGTGTGTGTGTGTGTGGGATTTTGTGTGTTGCGGTGGAACTGTGTGTGTGTTGTGCATGCTAATCATGTGTTTCCCCTTTTTGCACCTACACATAATAATTTACAAGTGCTACTCCCTCTCTCTTTACAGGATATCAAGCGTCATGATCAGGGCATTTACCGATGTCGTGTGGATTTTCGCACAAGTCAAACGCAAAGTTTCCGTTTCAATTTGTCAGTAATAAGTAAGTGTTGCCGTTGCCGTTGCCGGTTGCCGGTTGCCCCACCAAAAATGATGGAGTATATTTGGAAGCATATGCCTCTCTCTATCTCTCTCTCTGCCCTCCTCTCTTCTGTCTTTACACATTTCTCATATGTGTGTGTGTGTTTGTTTGTTTTTGTAGTACTTCCGGAGCAGCCAATCATCTTGGATCGTTGGGGCCGACAGCTGAATGGCTCTCAATTGGGGCCAAAGCAGGAGGGCGATGATATCGTTATCACTTGTCGTGTGGTGGGCGGTAAGTTGATTTTGACTACAAAAGAAGAACTTAACCCCAATAGAGCCGCTCATTCCTCACCCCCATCAACCCCAACCCCAAGCCCAAAATGTGTAGAAAAACACACATAAACCCCAAAAGCCGTAACCCTCTTCTACACACACACACAGACACACAAACACAGATGCATATATCGTATGGCTATATCCGTATGCTCGGCTAGACAATTTCCTGTTAATTTCCTTAAAAGCTTTGACCGACAAGAGGACTAAAAAGTTTTTTGGGCACTGAAGGAAAATTCTCCTACTGCCTGCCTGCCTGCTGCTGCTGCAAATGAAAATATCACAAAGTCGGTTTTGCTTTTCTTTTGCTTTTCCTTTCCTCTCCTATCGTTCCGTTTCGACTTTGGCAGTTCAGTCGTCGGTGCCGCTGCCGCTGCTGCTGCTTGTCGTGGTTTTTTTTTTTTTTTATTTCGCCAAGCTTGACTTTTTAATTTGCACCATTTTTCGTTTTTACTACGAACGAATTTCACTAACTCTTTTCTCGTGTGTCTTATAGGTCGACCCCAACCGCAGGTCCGTTGGCTCGTAAATGGACTGCTTGTCGACAATCAAAACGAGCACAATTCCGGCGATGTTATCGAGAACCGTCTGTTGTGGCCATCGGTGCAGCGAAACGATTTGAATTCCGTATTCACATGTCAGGCACTGAATACGCAATTAGATAAGCCCAAGGAGAAGAGCTTCATACTGGATATGCACTGTAAGTACGAGCACAATACAGGCAGCTTGTAGTTTGTACACACATATATTTGTATAAAACATTTCTTCAAGCTGAACTCTCTCTCTTATAAAGTGTGGGAGTGGGTGAAAGAGCAGCAAGGTTGGGTACTAAATGGGATTGAAACCTCTATGGCTAGTGTTTTATTTAAGATTTAGTGGAGCTTAAAGTAGAGCTGCTTGAAGAAAAGAAATATGTCCCCAATCTACACTGAGTGACAGAGTAAATGACAGAGTAAAAAAAAAAAATAATCATATATAAATTAAATATTTAATTTTTAAATATAAACATAGGGAAATTCTATTTAGAATTCGCTTTGATATAAATATAAATATATTAAAAATTCTTTTTAATTGGAATCCATATTTAATCTAAATATAAAACAGATTAAAATAAATATAAAAAAATAACTAAATAGGAAATATAATTAATTTAAATATGAAAAAAATTAATTTAAATTTAAAATGTTTTAAATAGAAAATATAAAACACATTCAAGTTAATATACAAAATAACCAAATAGGAAATATAATTAATTTAAATAATTTAATAATTTAAAAAAAGTAATAAATTAAATAATTTAAATAAAATGTTTAATATAATTTAAATAATTTAAATAAAATGTTTAATTTAAATTAAAGATGTTTCAAAGTTAATATAAAAAAATAACTAAATAGGAAATATATTTAATTGCAATATGAAAATGTTAAATTAAATTTGTTTTAAATAGAAAATATATATGCAAAAAAAAAATTTGCATATTAATATGAAATTTCCACTCTGAGAGAAATTCTATTGGTATACATTTTTGTAAGTTCTAAGTGTAATTATTCGCGGCTCAGGGCTGTTTTATTTTCTCTGAGTGCACCACTCCACTTTCCATAAGGTTAAATGCCAAGTTTTAGTAACATTATGAGAGAGAGCCCCCATTAAATAATTATATGCCCAGAAGGGGGAGAACACACAGCCTACAGTCAGCAGCCCTCAGCCCACAGTTGTCGATGGGTTGGATGGGGGGGCGTCAACATAAATGTCAGGTCGTGTTCTTAGAGCAGGCCTCGTGGCAAGTAGCAAAGTATCAACGAGCTGTAGACACGGAAACACGGCAGAGGCGCAGGTAAAGGCAAAGGAAGGGCCCGGACAAAGTCATAATCCAGGGAACCAGCTAGCAGCTAGCAGCAAGCAGCAACAGCCCATCCAGGAAGTGCAACACTCGAGAGCTGTCGAGACGTAATAGACACAAATTGTTGTTGATACGAAAGGAGTACTCCCCTACCGATTGTAGCGAAAGGATAGGGAAGGACACACCGGCACTGCAATTATGGGGCCATGAAATATGATGGCAAACAGAACTTTAATTACAATTGCAATGTAATTCAATTGAATGTCCTTGCCCATCATAATGTTCTGTTTCTCTCTATTTTGCCTTGCAGTAAAACCGTTGGTGGTGCGAATCCTGGAGCCACCCAGCTCAATGATTGCCGATCGTCGCTATGAAGTTGCCTGCGAATCATCGGGCTCTCGACCGAATGCCATCATAACGTGGTACAAGGGAAAACGGCAATTACGACGCACAAAGGTGAGTGTGGGCGGAAAGCAGAGCAGAGGAGGACTGGGGAGTGTAGTCCTGTCTGTGTGTGTGTCTGTGTGTGTGTGGGCGCCTGGAGTGACCGCAATTGACGCAGCTAGTTGGCTCCACTCTCTCACTCGTCTGCTGCTGCTGCTGCTGTTGGTGCTGCTGCTGTTGACTGACTCACGTTCAAGCTCGATAACTTATTGTGTTTGCACAGTCATGCCAAAACAAACGTGGCCCGTAACTCTTAGCACACACACACACCCTTTACCACCCAACCAACCAACCAACCTACCATCAGAGACATCCACAGACAAAGACAGAGGCAGAGACAGTGATTGGTGTGGGTCGGGAGGGGCGGGCTGGGCTGGGCGATGGGCGATGTACTGCAGCCCCACCCACTTGTTGTTGTCCCTGGGCGTGGTTCACACTCATCGTTCGTCCTGCGGGCGGATACCACCTCCGCAACTTGGTTAGAATAAACAGCAGATAATGTGATATAAACTCCACACTACACAAACGATTCCATGCCACTCCACTCCACTCCACACACCACACACTGCTTTTGCTTTGGCTTTGGCTTTTACTCTATTTCTTTTCTGGGTGTGTATACACTCTTTGCGGCGGGTATAAGGGTTCTATTGAGCCAAGCAAGCAATTTAATTGGTGATAAGAATTATTAGAGGAGTGAATAAAGCCAATGTGCTGCTGTTTTAGGTGCCAACAGGTGCAGCAGGCTTAAAGCTTTGTGGCTTAGATTATTATTTCTGCTGTACAAATTATTCCTTAACGGAAAAATAAATATAGGAGCCCCGAAAACTCTTTTGTAACTAATCACAGCCTACAAATTCCGGCCTAAAATGATTTTATTTGATTTATTTAGCTACTTAATCCACATCCTTCCCTTACCACCGCTAACCATTTAGTTCATGGATAATATCCAAGTGTATCTCCAATTTCGACACTACCAAAATTCTCTCCCTCCTCTCCTTTCTTTTGTTGTTTCCTATTTTTGTTTTTCTCTCTCTCTCTCCCTCTCTATTTTTTTTGTGTTTTTTTTTTTTTGCTCTCTTCAACTTTGGACAAATTTATGGGAGTTTTGGCGCAATTTTGTTGCAATTCATTTTTGTGTGTGTCGGGCGGGACCTCTCGAGTGCTCGTGTCAGAGTCCTGGTTAGGTCCTAGTCCGTTGTTTATGTCCATGTCTATCCTAGCCTTATATGCATACACACGCTGATTGCTTTGCCGTTTGGGTGCTGGCCAGGGTCTGGCTTTGGCTCTGGCTCTGGGCTTGGTCTTCCGCATGGTGGCCTGGGCCCAATGTTTTTAAAGACCGGAAATGTTTTTCACTAGTTTTCATGTAGCATAAAGTTGCCGTAATGCGGCAAAGACCACCCCCAATCCCGCTGCCACACGTCGGCGACGGGCAGCCATCGCCATCCCCCCGCCACCCACACACGTCGGATGGATCCTACCGGCAGCCATCGCCATCCCACATGTTTTACATGACTTTTCGTACCCTACTTTAGGTTTTCTAATATATGTTTGTGTCTGTCTGTCTATCTGTCCTGTGCCTGCCTGTGTCTGTGTCTGTGTCTGCCTGTGGGGGTGGCCTGAGGGACTCGGGACAAGGGGTTGGTGGGGCGGCTGTTTGGGTGTGGGTGGTTGCAAAAGCATTAATCAAAGCCCTGCAGACGGTCTAATTGAGAAGTTTAGCCTACAAATTGAAAGCATTTCGTGTATGTGGTCTATAGAAATGTAAATGTTAGACGGAGAATTTTTCAGTAACAGTTTTGGGAGCATGAACGAAGAGACGAGACCGAGAGCCAGAGCCCTTGTGAAGTCAAGGATTGTGTTTGGCAGGACTCTCGCTTCAGCTCTGGCCTGTGGCTTGATGTGTCAACAGAGCTCATAATTGGTTAGAGATAGAGTCAAAGAGATAGAGCTCACAATAATTAGGCTACAAAATGCAGGATTTCGAAATAAATCCAGAAATGGAGAATTAAAGTTGCACACTTTTCAGAAAGTTGCTTGAATTTTAGACAGATTTATAACAAAACTTGCAATCAATCGAATGTGTGTGTGGGGAGCACAAGGATTTATATGCCCGCTAACTGCTGACACTTTAGCACCAGCCACAAAAAACACACACAGGAGAAATCCGCAGGCCAAACATTCACAGCATATTCCATTGCAGAAAGGAAAGCAAGGACAACAACTACACAGGAGAGAGAGGGAGAGTGAGATACAGAGAGCGTTAGAGACTGGCAGAGAGTGAGAAACGGCTCAACTAATTATGTGACGCCTTTTGTTGCCGCTGTCCTTCTTTGCCATTAAATTTATAATGCCCCAAACATACACACAGACTGCCACACACTCTCCACACAGGGACACCCACCCACACGTGGCCCATAAAACCCGGAAAGCAGACACACACACACATACCAATAAATTTTAAATTGCAAACATAAAATATTTCAACAAATTTGCAACAAAAACAGCAACAGCAACAGCAAACAACAAAAAAAAGGCACCAAAGCAAAACCCCCCCCAAATGAAATGAAAACTTTGCCTCGAGGCGCAGAGTTTTTGGCTTCGTCTTCGTCTACCAGTCTCCCAGTCTCCCAGTCTCCCAGTCTGGTCTGGGTTTGGGGTGGTAAAAACTTAATTAATGCAAAAACATTTTCTTATATATTTTCTTTTCTCTTTTTCTTCCATTTTTTTTTCTCTTCTCTTCTCTGTGTTCTGTTTTTTTTTTTTGTCTGAACAGGACGACATATCAAAGAACTCGACACGCTCAGAGCTGAGCTTTGTGCCGACCACAGACGATGATGGCAAATCGATAACATGCCGTGCGGAAAATCCGAATGTGAATGGCCTGTATTTGGAGACCATGTGGAAATTGAATGTCGTTTGTAAGTATTACAAATTGTGTTTAAGACTCTAAAGAAGAATAAGGAAAAGGAGGAAGGAAGGTGGCGGCAGGGGCAGGGACAGGGGCAGGGGCCCAAGGAAAACTCTTCTGGGTAAAGAGAATACGAAAACGAAGGCATTGCCGACAGCTACCAAAAAGGTAGACAGGACCGCCAGGACCACGACCAGGCTAAAATTTATTACGTCGGCGATGTCGCCCATTGCCAGCGTTTGCCGTTGAAAGCCTTTAAAATGCAAATAAATCAAAGACAAATGACAAATTGTGAATAATTTGCCAAAGGGCCGTCCCAGCCCCACAAGAACACACGTGCTGGTGGGGTGGGTGGTTGAATGAGAGCGTTGAGGGACAGCACAAATGAAATATGTGGGCTAACAAAATGTATGGCAGTCGCTTAAATTAAATGAAGGACTTTTGCTGCTGCTGCGGCACCAATAAAAATAAATATCCAAATAAAAAATAACTGGCCCAAAAGAGGAGCTGCGTCAGTTCAGGAGGGGGGGGCTACACGCTGCGCAGTAAAAATTAAAGGAAATCTCTCGATAATTACATCTACCAGAGAGAGAGGCTTAAGCCACACCGTGGGAACCCAAGCCCAAGCCCAAGCCCAAAAATATTACCGGAAAATCGCTGGGCTTGGGGCAGGCACACTGCGGACATCGTAAAGTACTACCTACCTACCTACCTACCTACCCTCAAAGGAAGGGCAGAGAGAGAGCGAAAGATATCGCAGCGTACGATGTACGAATGCGTTACGTATACGCCGGGGTGTTTCCGGTTGGCATTTCTTTACTTTTCGTTTGTTAAAAATATGAAATTTTTGGTGTATATTTTCGGTGCTTCAATCACAGAGCAGAGTCGGGCCACGCCTACTCCTTAAGCAGAAATTACTGTTTTGCGCTAAAGAGAATATATATATATATATGTACACACTCGTATGTGTGTGTCTGTATACCTATATATAACGTGTTATGATTATATATATTTGTTTATGCGCCACACACATACTTTCTGGCCTCATATTTTATATTTTAGAATATTAGTTTTTATTTGTTTGTTGTTTTTTTTTCGTTGCGGCGCTGCCGTTAAGGCGATTGCCTCGCTGCTGCTGCTCCTGCTGCTGGCGTCTCGGGGCAAATAAACTTTATGATCGGCACGTAGTACCGTACCACAGCAACAACAAATTCCCATATAAGTATGTACATATACATATGTATATGTATGTATGACTACGAGTATGTTGAGGCCTGTCCTGGCAGACACTTGACTTGACTGGCAGAATGGGATGGGTGGGGTTGTTGGCGTTTTGGGTACAATTTCCAAGAAAACGAACATATTTTATAATTTAATCGCGTGGCAGGTCGTGTAGAGCCGAAATTCAGCGAGTAGCTATGGGGGGTTGGGAGCAGAAGATATGGGAAACAAATCTACGACACCTTGAAATAAAGGGGAGAGAAATACTTAAAAGGGGGGGAAATGTTTAAAAATATTTTGTAATTATTTTATTTTAAAATGTATCATTCAAGAAAGGTTTTTTCTATAAATGGAAAAGTTTTTAGACCTAAGTTTCCATTAGAAATGACAATGACCTTTTAAAGCTCGATAAATGTGACCAAAATTCGTTTATTTATTGCCGAAACTACCATGAAATGCGAGTACCTGCTGGTCTATAAACTTCTATAATTATTGCAACAAATTTCTACCTTTTTTGTATGCAAAAATGCACGTCGGAAATATAAACCTTTGGACTTTAGGCATATGCGCATCAATATACAGCTTCCCCATTAGCTTTTCCACCCACCAAATATAACTGATAGATCGATCATCTTTGGCTTGTAGTTAAGAATAATCAACAATAGCTGCTCACTGATTTATTCCTCTCTCTCTCTCGTCTGATATATCCATTTAGATTGTATAATCTTTACATTCCCCCCAAAAAATGTTGGCCATCATTTCTGGGAGGCCATTCGTTGTTGCTACCCCAAAAATGTCATATGGGGTTTATTTTCTGCAGTTGACTTTAATTGAAACGAATAAACGAATGGCTGGCTGGTGCTGCAACATGTGATATCTGCATCACGCGTGAGTTATTATGCCACCAAAAATAACAACAACAACGTTCTGTTCCGTTCTGTTCCGCTTCGTTCTGGCTCCTTAGGCACGACATTTGCCAAGGCCATTTGGCCAAATACTTTATGCTACATGCTCCATATGTACATACATATATGTTTGTGTAGGATATTGCGTACTTGTAATCGCACTCCTATTTCTGCAGTAGAAGCTGCTCTTGCTGTCCCCTCATTTTCCACTGTGACTCCCCCACACATGCCTTGCTGCTCATTGCTACTCTGACTCCTACTCTTGGCCCTCATTTCTGCTACGATTCCTACTGCTTCTGCTAGTCCCCTCCCCCCACAGCTGCCATTGTATAATGTTGTTTATATCTGCTGTGTGGGTGTGCGTTTTAAAATTTATAATGTTACCCAGCGAACGAGGCACAAGGAGTGTCGTGCATGGGGGGACCTTCGCTCTTCTTGGTTGGTCTCCTGGCAAATGGAAACAAGACAAAAAACATGCAATGCAATCACAGACGCTGTAGAGATTCCCATGCCCACGAGTGTACGAGACCCTCCGCCATATATATGACACATTCTTAGGGAGCGCCAGGACCCAGACACACACACACACAGGCACACACACGCTCGCAGCCTGTAAAGTGTCCTTTGTTGCCGTTGTTTATGGCTGCTGTTGCTGTTGCTGCGCGTGCCTGGCATTTCCAAAAAGCGAAAGCTAGCCCGATATATTTATTCCCGCACCACTGAATGCCACAACTTGAGTTGATATTTTTAGAGTGGGGCCAACAGCAGCCCACAGAATGGCCAATAGACAATAGACAATGCTGGAAGGGGACTGCACTGCTACGCTGCTCCATTCGAAGGGTGGCTAAGTGTGTGCACAAAGGGAAGTCTGGCGAGAGGAACCTTGTGGCAGAGACTGCCCCAGAGACTGCCTGGTGAATGGTGTGCTTTATTTCACTGCAAAAATATCAAAGCCAAAGTGGCATACAATAACAGAGATCTATGGCGACCGTCATGGCACCGGCCCCTTCCCCATTTTCTAGGTGCTCGAAACTTTTGAATCCGCTGACAAATCCTCGACCAGCTCGTTGTAGACACTCGCCGGCACCACGGTGCCCACAATCTTCTTGTTGACATCCGTCTTGACGCGTATGATCTGTATCTTGCGGCCATTCCGCTCAATGATCTTCTCGATGCGACCCCAAATGGGCAGCATCAGGCCCGAGAGCACGTGGTAGCTGCGCACGCGCAGCCCCACCTCGCAGCTGTTGGCATTGGGGCAGGGCCGGCTCCAGAACACATGCGAGCACTTGTTCAGGCAGACATCGTACTGGTGCTGCCAGTAGGGTTGCGCCTCCTCCGGCGGCACCTTCACATAGCGCAGCGAAATGTTGTTCAGCTGCTCGGTCTTCACCTGGGGTCCGGTATTGGGCCGGTACAGCTGCAGATGGACGGCAGTCTCTGCACTGCTGCAGGAGGAGGAGGAGGAGGAGCAGGAGGAGGAGGACTCTTTGCGTGCTGTGGATCCGGGCACCGGGTCGTTGCATTGCCCATTGAGGCACAGCACGGCGATGTTTTTGTTGCGTCGCTTCTGCTTCAGGATGTAGAAACCCTCGTGCGAGTCCTTGGCCTCCCGGCGGTATCTGCAAAGAGAGAATCAGTTTTTGCAGGTTCCAGGTGTGACTTAAGGACTTGTGGTGCCTACTTGGCCAGCGCCTGCTCGAAGGCCATGCCACGCTCCACCATCACCGTGTGCAGCTCTGTGGCCGCTGTGCCCGTGGTGTGTTGCCTCGTGAATCGCATGAGCTTCACGGACGTCACATACGCCCCATGGGCGTCCAGATCGAGTATGCCCAGATCGAAGCGACCCGTGCGCTTCATTTGGGCGATCAGCGCGTACATGTTGCCCAGAAAGAACTTGAAGATGGCGTTCTGCACCTCCACGCGGCAGCCGAGTATGCGATTGAGGAACTTTGTGATGTTGTTGCTGTCCTTCTCGACGGTGAACATCTTGCGGTTGTTCTCCTGCCGCATGCTGAGCAGCCCCACGCCGGCCAGCGCCGTGGCACAGTCCTCATGGAAGTTGCCCCCGTAGTCGTCCGGAATGTGCTTCACTGTCAGCATCCGCTCGCCGGCCATCTGCTGCATCACATGCTCCAGCGTGTTGCGGCCAATGCTGTTGTCGATGTTGAACTGCGATAGATCCCGGGCATCGGTGGCCCGTCGATCGCCCTGTGTGAGGGCGCCCAGGCTCTCCAGCCGCTTGGCCACTGTCGACGCGAAGCGTCGCTCCCCCGCCAGATTCGTGATGACGAACACATACTCGGGCGAGTTGATCTGATTGGAGCGATGGGTGCGTCCGAACTGCTGTATGGCCCGATCGGCGCTCCACGGCAGCTCCAGGGTGATGTGCAGGCGCCGTCGCTGGTTCAGCACCCGCTTGTCGCTCTGCAGCGAGATGCCACTGGAGGCGGCCTCCGAGATGATGGCCACGTACTTCTCGCCCTCCATGAAGCGCTGCTTCTCGCGGTAGTTGACCAGATCCATGCACGTGTCCGCCTCGACGCGCGACTCGTAGCGATAGGCATTGCGGCCCAGGCAGACGACACGGCCCCGTCGGCCCGTCATCTCGGCCACTTTGCTGGTGCCGCCCAGCTTGGCGATCAGCTTGTCCAGCGTATTGGGCGGCAGCTGGCGGCCCAGCTCCTCCACGCGCTCCAGCAGCTTCTCCTTGATGAGGATGCAGCGTGTGACATCGTCTTCGGTGATTTTCGGCGGCTGGGGCACGCTCGGATCGCGCTCGGTGCCCGGTGACTGCCGGGCGGCCAGCATATTCTCGTACAAGTGCTGCAGGATGCGATCCTGCATGGTCAACCGTTCCACTAGAGAGGGACAGATGAGAGATAAAGCAGATACAGCCGCGGAAGAGACTTAAAGCTTACCCCTGTCCGTCTTTGGTGGCCGGCCACGTCGCTTGCGGCCTTGGCCCTTCAGCGACCCCTCCTCGGGCAGCGCGGGCCAGCCCTCTGGCAGGCTGTCCATGTCGCTGTCATCGGAGCCAACATCCACATCGTCCATCCAGTCGATATGCGAGGGCCGCGGCTTCTTGGCACGCGGCGGCTGGTTGCGCGTCTCGGGCACAAACTCGCCCGTGCTGAGCAGCTCGATGAAGGCCTCGCGCCGCGGCGCCGGAAAGTGTTTCTCCACAAACGACTGCAGTATCATCTTGGAGGTGGACACAAAGGCCGTCAGCCGGCCGCTATGCCGCTCCAGATGCTCGAGCGTGCGCGACTCGCCCGTCGACTGCAGGCCAATGACGACAGACTTGCCGTGCCGCATCGCATGGCGGGTCATCTTGACGACCGTGTTGACCTTGGAGGCGATGCACAGGTTGCGGAAGAAGCGCTGATGGGCGCACCAGAACTGGCACGTGATGATCTTCTGCAGGCGACTGTCCACGTGCATCAGCTGGCAGGCCTTGGTGAACTTCTTGCCGATGTCCGCCCACAGTTCGGCGGCCTGGTCGTACACCTTCGTGTAGGAGGGCTGCATTTTCACCTCCTGGATGCGAAAGCTCACATCCTGGAAGCTCAGCTGGCGGGCAATGTAGGTGCCCCGGAGCTTCATGTCCATTGCCACCAGCTCCATGGCCCCAATGCCGCGCCTCTCCACCGCATACACAAAGTCCACCAGCTCCTCGTGTGCGGTGCCCGGCCCCCACAGTCCCAGCCGTGTCATGTAGGCCATATTCCGGGGCTCGCTGGCGCCCGTCGCCGACGCGTAAACGACCCGAGCCATCGGCAGCTGCTTCTGCAGCTCCAGCACGGTGGCGCCCGTCTTGGTCGACTTGCCCGCATTGCCCATCGTCAGATTCTTGGCCTTGTGGCACTCATCGAACACGATGACGCCCTCGAAATTGTGGCCCAGCCAGTGGACGAGCTGCCGGAGACGCGTCTGGTACTTGGAGGCGGCCGTCAGCGATTCGCCAATCAGGGCCGTGTACGTGCAGAAGATGACGCCCTTCCGGAAACGGCCATTCTCCTCGGAATCGATGCGGCAGTACTTGAGCTTGTTCAGGGCCACCACCTTGATCTTGGCCCCGATATCCTGCAGATCCCGCTCCGCATCGAACTTGAGGTCATTCGACACGGAGATCCACAGCGCACGCTTGCGACCCTTCAGATAGTTGTTGTAGATGGTGCCGGCGATGGCCCGGCCCTTGCCAACGCCGGCGCCATCGCCCAGCAGGAAGCCGGCACGCTCGCCGCTCGGCAGAATGCGCTCGTGCGCCTGGCACGCATAGATGACCGCCTCCAGCTGCAGGGCACTCAGGCAGCCCGACACCTGAAAGTGTGCGGGCAGCGACAGGTCGTAGGTGATGTCCGGCAGCTCCACCGACGACAGGGTGGCCGTCTCGACGACGGCATCCGGATGGGCCATGCCCTGCTTGAGCTTGGTGGGCCAGTACTCGGCAAAGGTCTCCGCCACGCCAATCTCCTCGTAGTCCACCTCCTCGTCCTCGACGGCCTGATCGGGCCCCAGAGCGGCGCGAGAGCCGATGCCGATGCCGCCGCCGGGCCCGTTGACGGGGCCATGGAGCGTCGTATACGAGTTGGGTGTCTGCAGGATCTGCTGCATTTCCTTGCCCGTGATGGGCTCCAGCTGCGGCAGTCCGCCGCTGAATCGATTGGCTGCCGCTCGACCAGCCACCGCATTCGGCGGCAGCCTTGTCACCTGTGTGATCAAGCCATCGGGTCCCGTCATAAACGAGACGGGTATGTCCGCGCCATGGTCGTCCTTTATGTAGGTCATCATCGGTCCGCTGAAGCCCTGTGCCGCGCCAGGATTACGCTGCACGACCTTGCCGCCCGTCGTGGCCAGCTGCTGAGCGGCCTGCTGCTGTTGGATCGTTCTTGGATTGGCTGCCGGTGGGGCTGCTTGAGGGGCCTGTACCTGTGGCATTGAGATTATTGCTCCATTCTCAAGCTCAATTTTGAGGGCAGAGTCGCAGCTTTGAGTGGTGTCTCCAGGGATCACAGCCGGCTTCACGGCTTCAGGCAGTGTCTTCGCTTCTTGAGTCTGTTTTTGGCTGGCAGCGGTCAAGTTTGGGCAAGGATTTGGCATAGCTTTGGCCTGTCCAGCTGGTTTCTTGGCCAAAATGGGCGCTGGCACATTGGGAATCTGATTTTTGGCCACAGATTTTGCCACTGGCATCGAATTGTCTGCGGGTCTCACGCGTGTTATGGGCTTTGGTGCAGCACTATCAGTTTTAAGTTGACTTTGAGCTAATGCCTTGCCGGTTAACTGGTTCTGGTTAACTTTTGGTGTACTCATGCAGCTGTCTGCCGTGTTGTGACTTGCTTTTGGCTTCGTCGGCGCATTGTCTGCTGGTCTCACCCGGGTCACAGGCGGCTTGATGTGTGGCTGTAGAGTTTTGCCATGTTCGCTTGGTTTCTGGGGAGCAGAGTTCACGCTCGGAGCAGGCTTTGGCACAGTTACGGGCTGTGCGGCTGCTTTCATTGGCTTAGTAGGCGCCGCTGTCACAGTATTAACTTGGTTTTTGCACACAGACTTTGTCATTTGAATCGGAATCGGAATCGGATTGTTGTTGTCTGCTGGTCTCACGCGAGTTTTCGGTGGTTTTACGAGGCCCGAGTCGGAGCTCGGACAAGGTTTTGCCAGCTGCTGTTTGCTCGGAGAGGATTTTTGAACGGGTGCAGCATTGACTGCCGGCTGTGCTGGCTGTTCAACGGAAGGCTGCTCCCCAAGCTGCTCTTCCACCCAAGCGCTCCAGTTCTCAGAAGGCTTATACGTAGCTCTGATCTTTACCGCATCTTGCACACGGCTCACAGCCGCCAGTGCCGAGCGACTGTATCGCGGGGGTAAGCCATTTGTATGCTGATTTTCCAGTCCAGTGTCCCAGCTCTGATGGGCATATGAATTGTGTGCTGCAGGGTTTGATGATTGCCCATTATTCTGTTGATTTTGCCAGCTCCGAAAGGGCAAAGGATGCTGCGCAGCGCGGGGCACTTGCTGCAGCTGTGGCACAGTGCCCAGTTGACTATTGAAGCCCGACTGGCAGCTCTGACTGTTCCAAGGACTTTCAAATTGTTGCCCATTGTGCGCAGGATTTTGTGTGACTGTCTGCCAGCTGTGGTGAGTTTGTGGAGCAACTGGTGGTCGCTGGGTATCAATTTCAAAGCCAGAGTTCCAGCTTTGGTAGGCTGTTTCCCGTTGAACAGGCGGCCGCATGGAGTTTTGACGCTGAAAATGATTGCTCGAGTCCCAGCTCTGATAGCCTGCTGGCGGATTGAATGTCTGCGCTTGAACGCCGCAAAAGTTATCAGCGGAGTTCCAGCTCTGACCAGCTGATGCAGCGAATGAATTCGATTGCGTTTGCATGGGCTGATTGAATGCCTGTGTTATCGGCGGGGCTAGGCCCGAATCGGAGGCACATGCAGACATATAGTCCCAGCTCTGATTAAAACTCGGGGCGGCTATCGGCGGCGGCTGCTGCTGCTGCATCGGACTGCCAACACACAGAGAGTCGAGTAGGTCGTGTAATGATTGCTTGTTGTTGGCTGGCAGTGTGTCGCATTGTGTTGGATGATATTGTGCAGCGGGCGGCAGCTCACCTTGGGGCGGCTGCAGCAGTGCAGTGGGCGGCACGAGATTCGCGTCCACAGCCGGCAGTCCCCAGTTGGTGGCTGGCTCATCGAACTCCGCCCACAGTGAGTCGAAAATATCCGCTACTGGCTGCTGCATTGGTGACATGAATTGGGCGCCGTCTTTGATGAATTGCTCCGCAAATTCGACGAATGTTTGCTCGATTGGTGCCGCCATTGGTGCCACGATTGGTGCCGCGATTGGTGCCGCGATTGGTGCCACGATTGGTGCCGCGATTGGTGCCACGATTGGTGCCACGATTGGTGCCGCGATTGGTTCCTTAGGTGGTTCCTTTGGTGGTTCCTTGAGTGGTTCCACAATCGGCACTGCTGGAACTACCCTCTCTGACGCTACAAAATCATCTGGCAACGATTTCGGTTGCATCTCCTGGGCGGTCTGCTCGGCCGTCGCGACTTTCGGCTTCAATTGTGCCTCAACATTGAACGCACGCATTTCGGCACTCAGGGCTGCTGGTCTTTCCGGCACCGGAGGCGGCGGGTCGCCGGGACCCCCGTACATGGAGCACGCATCCTCCTCGGCCATGCGCAGAAAGTCGCGCCTACTGATCGGCGCCGCTGGCTGCGCCTTTTTTGCGCGTCGTTTTCGCTCTCGCTTTCGCTCATTGGGCACCATGACTTTAGGTGACATTTCTCACCGCTTCCCTACAAAAATTATAAACCAGATTTACTTTACTTTGCTTTACAACTCGGAACTGTACGCGCGCTGTACGGCACGGCACGGCACGGCAACGAACACTCACAAAAAAAAACAAATTACAAATTAACCAAAAATTGTGAAATTTTTGTGGCGCTTTGTGTTTTTTTTTTTGTTGCTTTTCATAAAATATTCCGTAGTTATATTTTTTAGCTCCGACTCGGGCGAAAATCAGACCCTGACTGAGGCTCCAATTGGCTTTTTGTGCGGCCTAAACTTTGAGCAATTTCACAGCTTGCTAAGTTTAATTTTCATTAAATAAGTGTGCTCAAAATGTACTAAAAATTACCAAAATTAGTGCTGGGAAAAATGCCCAAAGTGTGCCAGTAAGTGTTGAAAAAGGTTTTCAGCACTGCTCATGGGAAATTGTGCCGTTTGCTTTGAGTTGAGGCGTAAATAATTTAAGTTTTTGGTCAGAATTAATTGGCAAAACTTCAACGAATTAATTATACATATATCCAGAGTTCAGAGTTCACAGACAAAGGAATAAATTATTTATTAAAATGCTGCATAAATTAATTTATGAAGATATGCCGCATTTAAAGAGCAGCCAGCCACTGTTCAATATTTGGCCCGCGGGGGCAGCGCAACTTGCGTTCTGTTGCACATAAATTGTGAGCAGCCATCGATCCAAGTGGCATGGCAGCCGCGTGGGGTGGGGAGCCGCCGCCGCTACAATGGCAATGGCAGCCGTAACGGTAAATGATAATCACAAAAATGGCCGGCAACATGTGTGCGGAAATACGCGACGCGACTTTTCCCAGCGAAAAAGAGTTTTTCCGTGGCGTAGCCCTTCGGGCACTTTGCCTGATTGGCAGACGCCGACGCCCGACGCCCGACCGACGGCAAAGACGACAGAACAGGAGGACCAAGAAGCAGAAGAAGAAGACGGTTTGAAGGAGGACCAAAGGCGAGCGCAAAAGTTTTCCGGGCCATTCTAAAGTTTGGCAGCTGTGTGGAGGGTGGGAGGCGCTGCGAAGGAAGGGGAACTTTTTGGCTTGCGTTGTTGCCTAACTCTTGACTGTCGGCGTTTGGTTTTTGGCCGCCAATAACTCAACAATATTAAGGTTGGCACGTGCGCCGCCCCGACAACGTCCCCGGTTCCTATCCACGGTCCTGTTTCCGTGCCTTTGGCTCTCGGCTGGGGTCTCTGGGTCTGGGGTTCTGGTTTCTGGTCTCCGGTCTACGGGTCTCTGGATCCTTTCTGCTGTTGCTTTCTGTTTGTCGCAAAGTTTGTGGCTCGTTAAGCAAATTCAAACGACTTAAGCGGCAACACATGTTGGCAAACAGCGGTCGAAGCCGAAGCTGAAGCAGCAGCCCCAGCCTCAGCCTCAGCTTCAGTCTTGAGGACCTCAGCGATGCGACAGCGATGGAGGATGGCCTCGTCGCCATAACTCTTGGCTGATGTTGCACTTTGTCCCTGTTATTGCTCCAAATCGCTCATATTTGCAAAAACTATTAAATCAGCCCCATGCCTCGTGACAGTCGCTGGCACTGGCTCTATTTTGATGAGCGCTGACAAGACACTTGTCAAGTTGCAAGATTTATTCGGCAAGTAATTGGGGGTGAAAATAAATACGCCGCAGAGCGAATGAATTTTGAAGAATATTTGCTACGCCATGCCTTTAATTTTCAACACTATAAGGAAATAATAATCTAAAAAATACTTAAATTGGTGTTGGATAATGTTTTACCAGTAGGAATATTCTTCTAAGTCTATTTTCCACAAAAAATAGATAAATATTAGACATTTAGCAGAGAAAATAATAGCCTAAAAAATACCACATTAGTGTTGAACAATGTTAAACCAAAAGGGGTAAGCTTCCAACACTAACAAAAGAGTCTAGATGTAATTAGGGGTGAAAATAAATAATAAATAAAGGAAATAATAATAATAATAAATAAATAATAAAAATGATTAAAGTTGAGATATTTATGGTGCAAATGCAATTAAAAATCTCTTTTAAAAGTTACCAAAGAAAATAATAGCCTAAAAATTACCCCAATTAGTGTTGGATAATGTTTTACCAATATTCTTCTAAGACTATTTGCCACAACAAGTAGATAAATATTAGACATTTATGGCGCCAATTGCAATTGGAAATCTATTTTAAAAGTTACCAAAGAAAATAATAGCCTAAAAAATACCCCAATCAGTGTTGAATAATGTTAAACTATTAGGAATACGTTTCCAACACTAGCAAAATAATAATAATAGAAAATAATCAGATAATTATGGCAATGGCAATTGGAAATCTATTTTAAAAGTTACCAAAGAAAATAATAACCTTAAAAATGCCCCAATCAGTGTTGAATAATTATAAACCAATAGGAGTACGCTTCCAACACTAGCAAATAATCAGCTAGTTATGGCAATTGGAAATCTATTTTAAAAGTTGCAGAGATAATTTAAAGAGCTTTTAAGTTTATACGCATTTACCACATTGATTTCCTTTGGCCAAGAAATTGTCAATTAAAAGTTAATTCATCTCTTTTGTCTCTCTCTCTCTCTCTCTCTGCGTGCCTCTCTTTGCAGATCCACCTTTGGTCACACTACGCCTGGGCTCCACATTGACGCCGGATGATATCAAGGAAGGCGACGATGTTTACTTCGAGTGTCACGTACAATCGAATCCTCAATGGCGGAAACTGCTGTGGTTGCATAATGTAGGTTGAATCAACTCTCAGCCTCGCCTCCCCCTCGACAAGTACGGGCCACCAAAACCAGCAGCTGGGAAGCTGCGAACCAATCCAAAGTCAACCCAGGCTCTTGTGCCTGCTGACTGCTGCCTGCTGCCTGGTCCCTGGTACTCGTTTCTCGTTCTGGTTGGCCCCGGCCCCGGCCCCGGCTGTCTGCTCTGCTGGCTTCTTCCATTCATTTTCTGTTTAAGTGTCAATAACATGGCAAGTTGCGTATGCGGCGTATGAGGCGGCGGCCGCTCGGGGAGTCGCCACCGTCGATTTCATGATGCATTGAGCCGCCGTCTCATCGGTAGCTGCTGCTACTGCTGCTGCTGCATTTGCTCATTTCAATTCACGCCAGATCCACTGGGGGCAGGGTCATGTGTGTGCTTTGTGGGACTGGGTCTGGGACTCGTCGCACTGAAAAGAGTGAACTGCATGTGAGTGGGAGTAGGAGTGGGAGTGGGTTCCGTCCGTGGTTCCATTTTGGGTGGAAATAGTTTTGGGATTTGTGGCATTGATTTTGCCGTCGCTCAACTGCAGTCCCGCAATCGCTTGGCAATCACTCAGATCCCAACATACCCATGCCCCATCTGCTTCTGGATCCTGGCTCCTGCCCTGCACTGCCATTTTGTGTGGGAATTTTTGCCTTTCGGAAGCGCTTAACGGATTTTGGCAAATTGAAATTTGAACTTGAGTGATTCTCGTCGAATAGATTACTGTATTATTCTTCTTTATTTTGTTTGATGTGAGATGCGGGTTGAGTGCGCAGCATAAGTTCTAGTTACAGATTAATTAATTGTGGAGTTATCTGCGTGGAAAGATATTTATTTAGATTTAACTAAGACGGCAAAGATGTGCAATATATGGGAAATATAATAGAATTACAATAAGTTAGAGCACTTACAGTTTAGAATTCGATAAGCTAATTACTGTAGCATGCTAGAGGGGAGTTTTGGATGGCGTGAGGCACAACATATCTCCCTTTAAGTACCCAGCTAAATGTCTAATATTATTAACTATATTTCTGTAATTAATCCTTCTTTTCTTTTATCTCTCAGGGCATTCATCTGGAGCACAATACATCCGCTCGTGTCATACGCTCCAATCAGAGTTTGGTCCTGCAGAAGATCACAAAGCATTATGCTGGCAATTATGCGTGCAGTGCCATCAACGATGAGGGCGAAACGGTCAGCAATCAGCTGCCGTTGCGTGTGAAATGTGAGTATTAGCTAGCCCCCAAACGCTTAACTGTTTCCAGTCCAGTAGAGTACTAGCAAAGTCCAAGCAGAGTCCAAGTAGAGCCTAAGCAGAGGCTAAGCAGAGTCCAAGCAGAGTCCAAGCAGAGTCCAAGCTGAGTCCAAGCAGAGTCCAAGCATGGTCCAAGCAGAGTCCAAGCAGAGCCTAAGCAGAGTCCAAGCAGAGTCCAAGCAGAGTCCTAGCCGAGTCCTAGCAGAGGGGGAGAAAGCGAGCTGCTGTTTAAACAGAAACTCTGCCTCTGTAGGACGCTGCTCTACGCTGCTGCTGTGATGCATCAGCGATTTCAAGCATAAATTTGCCAAGCGGCACTTTGTTTGAATGCATCATCTATCTGGGCAAATGTCTCTGCCCTCCCTGTCCCTCTCTCTCTCTCTCTCTACCCACTGTGTGTGTGTTTCCTCCCCACTCTCGCTCTCTTTCTCTCTCTCTCTCTGTTGTTGCGTCTACACTCTGCGCTCGTCTGTTTTCTTATCATAAAGTCAGGCGCTGCAGACGTCGCAGTTGTCACTCCGCCCGGCCTCTCTTCCTCCCTAGCACCATGCTAACCCCTGCTTGGCCCTGTCCACTCCACGACTCATTTGATGTATTGCAATTTTCCATACTTTTCTTTTTTTTTTCTTTAGCATTTTGTGCTTTTATTATACACTGCAAAGAGGGTATAAAGACTAAGACTAAGACTTGAAGTAGAAAATGCAGAGAGAAATTCTATACGAAAAATAAAAATCCCTGGGCATATAATTGGCCCAAAAGATAACTGAACCTAAACCAATATCAAGCAGATATATCTGCCACATGTTTAGAATATATATCTGGGAGTGTATCTGCAGCTTCGAGGGACCCTTAGCCATAGCCATAGCCATAGCCATTCCATTCTTATTTCTTTTTGCTGTTGCGCTCCGTTCGTTTTCATTTTACAACTCAAACTGGAGAACTGGTAGGGGCAGGGGGCACGAGCACTGTTGCCAGTGACTTGACGCAGTTGCAAGTCAAGGCTATGAAAATATTTTTCATTCCGCTTCTTTTTATTTTTTTTTTTTTTTGCATAAATACAACATTTTGCCTTCTGCCCTATGGCTGCTCGCCTCACCATTCGCTACTCGCGTTTGCTTCACTTTTCATATGCTTGCCACATGCGCTGTACTTTGGCCATATTTCATCCAGGACTCCAGCTCCCAGCTACAGATACAGGACTCTAGCTGCAGCTGCAACAGCAGCAGCTGCAGCAGTGAGGGATACAAGCGGAATTATGCTTCAATTTAACAGCCCGCGAAATGTTGCTGCAAGGGAGGAGGAGGAAGGATCCTTACTAGCAAGGAGCGCCCTGCACTGCCAGCTGTGTGCTTGAATTTAAGCAATTTGACAGACGCCTCGACTGATGAGAATGTGGATGATGCTGATGATGATCGCACTCGTAATGAGCTGTGGGCCAGGGCAGGGCGTATGCAGTGGCTTAGCTAAGCTACAGCTACAGCAACTGCAGCTCTGACTGGTTGGTGTGCTTCCTGCTCGTATCTGCTGCTGAGCGATACACATGTATCCACACACCCCCCACACACACACTCTGCCGCTGCCGCTGCCGCTGCCTCCGCCTGTGCTCCTCTCGTGGCTCTGTTGCCATTTTGAGCCATACAAATTGCTGCTCCAACTCAAGTACGCCACACATGCACTCCACTGTACTCCACGACAGGGCGCATTGCTGCGGGCCATAAATTAAATGAAGTGTGCGCCACAGCCACAGACACAGCCAAAGCCAAAGCGGCTGCCACTGCCACTGCCACTGCCACTTTTTTTTTCAGCCTTCATTTGGTGGGTTTTGGGGCCACATGCCAAGCTTCTGCCTATTGGATATTAATAATTGTAATTATGCAGCTGATTTCTGATTGAGCTTTGGATCAGACACAGGCAGCTCCAAATATAATTTCCCTTTTTGTTTCCCTGGCTTACAATAATCAGAATTCCATCCCTGTGACGCCTTCCACTTGTTGCTCTCATCCATACATATATCCCCGTGGGAATTCCCTTTGTGAATGTCATTGAACTTTTTCCATTTCTTATTTGGTCAGTTCCTGCCCCACTGCCACTGGCCACTGCCACTGGCCACTCGAGTGTTGCTTAATTAGCAAAGCGACTAAGTAATCAGTCGCCCTCACGCCCCGCCCACCGCCTACCACCAAAACAAAAACATAATACGAAAGAGGCCACATCCCTCAGCAGGATGTCAGGATTGGGCGTTATTTTCTGGCTAATTAATTACGCGCACACCCCCACGCCCCCACGCCCCACCCGAGCATTTCCCCACCCATTTTTGCTTTTTGTGTAAATTTTTGAAGATAAACAATTCATCAGAAATTCAAGTTGCCTTTCAAGAGAGCGGCTTAGCGGGCGGAAGAGAGAGAGAGAGGCAGGAACGACGAAAGCAAATTACGCATACGCCACGTGTGCCGTCAGCTAATAATCCTTTAACATTTATGGAACGGAACGGAACGGAACGGAACGGAACGGAGCGCCTTATTTACCTGGAAGTACTAAATCATGTTGCCACATTAATTAATTTGCCGTGAACAAGAACGAGGCACTTCCACACGACAGCTCTGCTGCCGTTGGCTTTTAGCCCGACCCTCCGTCCCTATGGACTGGCGGATTGACAGACTGACAGACTGACTGACTGATGAGAAGGCGTCGTCGCGCTTTGTTGTCCCCTCTGTCTAAATCACTTTTGTGCGTTTTTCTTCTTGTGTGTGTGTGTGGGCGTAGAAAAGCAAATACTTTGGCTCTCATTTTTCAACGATTTTCACAACGATTTTAATGGCCTACAGCCGATAAGGGAAGGACATGATTACGTGGCACATCATTAGCTATTCAAAGGCATAGGCCTCGCGGGGGGTGGAACACCAACAGGTGACTGGAAACGGGGAAACGATAACCACGATAAATATTTGCAGAGAGGACAATCGCAGATATCTTCTGCAGCTAAGAAAGAGAGAGAGAGAGCGAGAGGTTTTAAGTTGAGAGATTTCTTTCCCAATCCGCAGCATCCCTTAAAGAGTAGAACTTAAACCCAGGCAGATTTTTGGCTTGCATATTGTAGCTATCATTATTTAATTTCCCCTTTCTTATTCCCATTTTAGACACTCCGATATGCAAGCACTCGGACCGTGTGATATTAATTGGCGCCTCCAAGGACGAGACTGTGGAAGTAATATGCGAGATACAGGCCGATCCACCACCGCGGTAAGTGCACAAATCCAGCAATCCAAATCATAAAGAGACTTCTCCCCCATTGCTGCTGCTTCCTGCTTCCGCTCCTTTAGTCCTGTATTTTATTCTGTGTTGTAGGCGGCAATTGCTTCCTGTTGTTTCCTGTTGAATGGTTCAAGTGTTTGGTAAAATTGACAAATGATTGTAATTTTTGTTGTGCGAGGAAATGTGAGAAAATTTAACAATATTTTCTTGCTGTGGCTGCCTGGCGCTGCTGCTGCTGCTGCTCCAGAAATTCTTTGTCAGATTTTTGCTTGTCTTTTCGTGTTCTCCCCCACTCTTTGCTGTTGCTGCTGTTGCTGCTGCTTTCTACACAGACCTTAAATTGTTTATTTTAATTCATTTTAAATGTGCAACTGGCTTTGCCGGCGGATGATGCTCCTCGTTCCTCGTTCCCCGTTCCCGTCCCACTCCCGCTGCTACTGCTGCTGATGCTGGGGATTTAGCTGGTCAGCGGGAATGTGGCCCACTTTAATGTTTTTTTAATGAGGCAAACACTGCCAGTAGCAGCGCCGCCAACGAGGCCTGTCCTGTCGCTCTGACCAGCTGCCACTCTGCCTTAGTCCGAGCTGTCTGCGTGCGTCTCGCTCTTTCGCACGCCCTGTCCAGTGCCTGTCCCTGTGCCTGTCCCTGTCCCTGTCTTGTCTTGTATTTAATTTCAATTTTTTCTCTTTTTTTGCTCGCGCGCGCGTCTTGAGCTGACGCTTTATGCTAAAATAATTAATCATTAGCCGGCGGAAAATATGCGGGACCGAGACAGAGACAGAGGCCGTGGCCGTGGCCGTGGCCGGGGCCAAAGCAGCTGGGTCCTCGTGTAATTGTTGTGGCTGCTGTGAGGCTGTGAGCAGAAAACAGGAGTAGTAGTAGATGCTGAGTGGATCCTGGATCCTGGCGTGAACATTAAAAAGCTGCTGCATACTTTTTGACGCGGTCACAGGGGAGACTCCGACCCCCTACCCGTTGCGGCGGATGATAGGATGGGGCGATGGCTGCGACAAGTTAATTTATCAGCATTTAAATGCCTGACAAGCCGCCCCAGCGTATACAAATTTATTATTTTCTGCATATTAATGTATTCAAATTTAATCAAAATATTTTTCCTTTTTTTTTGGGGTCTCTTTAATGTGTGAAAAACTCTCTGGAAAATTAGGGAAACCTTTGGGGAATTTGTTTCTGTATAAAACAACAAGAGAAATATTTATTAATTGTTATTATTTATTATTATTATTAATTATTATTATTAATTTTTATTATTAATTATTATTATATTATAGTATTATTATTTAGTATTATTATTTACTTTTATTTTTTTATTATTTATATTATATTTTAATAATCTACATATTCTGATATTTAATATTAAATTAAAATCAAATTAAATTAACCATTAAAACTATAAAAATCTACCCAACCAAAGCTACCAAACAAATTATGTTATGGGCCAGAAAACGTGACGAGAGGAGGCGAGGCGTGGACCCTCTTTAAATATATGCTCTCGTATAGCCTGTCACTGTCATCGCGTGTGTGTGTCTCTCAGCGGGATCTCTGCTGCTCCTCCTGTCCATTATTGATTTCATTTAACTCTGCTGGAATGTATTTTTAAATGGATTTCTTTTTGGGCTTTATTGATTTACGGTTATTTTTGCACTGTGACGCCCCTCCAAGTGGACCCACCGATAGCGTCCAACCGAATATGCCAGAGATAATTAACCTTTTAAAAGGCTTCCCTCCCAACCAATAACTTCGCAGTGAGTGAGTGAGGAGTTCGCTTCGCTTCGCTTCGGTTTGGTTTGGTTGGGTTGGGTCCATCTGTCGCCGTGTTTAACCTTTAATATTTTAACGAGCTATTTTAAAAATGTAAAACTTTGCAAACATGTTTCCACTTGCTGACTGTCGCCCGGTCGCCTCCTGCTGCTGCTTTGCCTCACCTGATGCTGCCTCTGCTGCTGCCTCTGCTGCTGCCTCTGCTGCTGCCTCTGCTCATGTCCTGTCCAGCTCTGTTCCGATCCGTTCCTTTCCTGTCGCACACACACACACACACTGCTGTCAAAATGTCAACGCAACTTACGCTTCATATATAAAATAAATAAAATATATATGTATATATATAATACACTATATGTATGTATGTATGTATATTCCTTTTGCAGAACATTTCGCTGGAAATTCAACAACTCGGGCGAAACCCTGGACGTGGGCAGCGAACGTTTCAGCGTGAATGGAAGTCGCAGTATTTTAAAGTACACACCAGTCACAGATCAGGTAAACACAACCCCGTCTCCCGCTCTCTCCCCCTCTCTTCGATCCCATGTGTACATGGGGAGACCAGAAATTCCTTTATTCCTTCATGCAATTAAGCAAGAGCTGCATTTTAAATAATAAATATAAATGTATATATATTTTTTACAGGATTATGGCACACTGTCCTGCTGGGCCTCGAACGAGGTGGGCACACAGCAGCATCCCTGTCTCTTCCAAGTCGTACTGGCGGGTAAGTGTGGGCTCCCAAGGTGGCTCCAAGTGGGTCTCTTGCTCTCTCTCTCTCTCTCTGGTTATGCAGGCTGAAAGAAAAAGAAATATAAATTTATTTGAGAGAAAACTACGACTTTCGAGGCAACATAATATATTCCCCGCTGTAGAAAAAAGCGTATTTAATTCCAGCATGCCAGCAGCCTTAAGTATCCATATTTCTATTTCTATGTTCCATAGAAAACTCTGCAAATATTAAGCACTAATCCTCCCACAATGTTCCATGAAAAAACTTGCATGTTCCATAATGAAATGTACCGAATGTTCCACTGGTCCACTGCAAACAGTGTTTATGCCATGAAAATGGCACTTGATCCTTTCAGCCTTTTACCCCCTTGCATGCCCCTGCTGCTGGCTGCTGTTTGCTGTCTGCTGTTTGCTGTTGCTTCATTACGTGCAATTTGACCTTAACATGTTAATGCCGACTGCAAACACAGACGCATGCGGAGAGTGGGAACTGGGGGCACTGGGACTGTGACTGCTGCTGGTACTGCTGCTCGGATTGCCACTCGCATGGGGAGTGGGGCAGACAGATCCCAAAAACCAGCAAAACCAGAGATTGGCCATTGTACACTTTTTGGGGGGCATTGCTCCGATTCAATACAGCAAACCAAAAACACAAAAAAAAAAAAAGAACAACTCTTCATATGCTCTCTCTCTTACTCTCTCTCTCTCTCTCTTTTTACCACCCCACCCCACCCCACAAATGATGATGCTGTTCCCGTGGATGCTGCTGCTGTTGCTGCTTGTTAATTTCCTGCGTTACGTGAACCAACAACATAAATCTGATTCCCATGCTCTGCGGCATTGCTCGTGTGTGTGTGTGGATTGGAAATCCTCATACCGATTCACCGATTCCCCGACTCCCCGATTCCCCGATGCCGATTCCACAGCTCTGCCGAATGCCGTCAGCAATTGTACCGTCTTCAACCGCACCGAGCTGAGTGTTGACATACAATGCATACCGGGCTATGACGGCGGACTGCCTCAAATATTTGTACTGGAAATGTTTTCAACACGCACCGGCATCACCAGGTAAGCATATTAATCAACTATAACTACAACTACAACAACTGTGCAGAAGCGCCACCCAAGGGTGGTTGGGTGGGTTGGGGACAGGGCAAAGCCTCTGCTTGGGGCCAGCTTTTAAGCTGCTTATGACCGCCGCCGCCGTCGCGCGCCCCCGGGGGGCCAGGGGATTTGGCCAAACTGACGAAAATTTTGTGCTGAGGGTTGGGGCGGGGCGGGGTTGTTAGGCAGCTTGACCCCAAGCACAGATATGGAGCATATGTCAAACAAATGGCTCCATATCGTTATGGCGAATACATACATATGCACACACGCCTATAGGTGTGTGTGTGTGTGTGCGTGTGTGTGTGTGTGCGGGTGTTTGCCTAGGCTTAACCCAACAACAGGCCATGGGGCATAGAAATATAACTTTGGGTAAATGTTTCACGGAATTATAGAATATATTCGTACCATTTGAATTTTGATAGTTTAAATTTAGTTTTTTTTTTTATTTAATAATTTATTTTATTTATTTATTTATTATTTTTGTTTATTTATTATTTATTTAATTTATATATAAATTTAAATATAAATATTTAAATATTATATTTATTATATTATATTTATATTTATATTATTATATATATATTATATTATATTATATTATAATATATTATATTATTAATAATGGTTACTTTAGGGAATAAATTCGCCTGCAAAAGAGATTTAATTGAGGTGTTATATTTGTTATATTCCACACATTCGCAGGACCCTCTTCTATGCTGCATGCACCTGGCAGAGGATTGTGTGTAATCCTACAAATAAATCTAAAAAGTCTAATTTGCCATGTGTATATTTAATTAAGCCATTTCTTGGCACTAAAAATGAATTTTCAGCTAGGGTTTTGTTGCTCTGTAATTTATTTTACTTTATTTTAATTGGAATATTTTTCTGATCTTTTTTTTTGGGGTTTTATTGCTTTTGTTTATTGATGCATTTAACTGATTTGAGTGTTAGCACAAGGGTTAATATAAGTATGTATATATGTAGATATGTGTATACTACTCAGGGGCATTGCCCATCATCCCTGGAGCGCTGGAAGAGGCATCGGTGTCTGCGTTTGACACCTTCCACAAAGACATGCTCCATAGCCAAAGTACCAGCATCATTTTATTCCGTAATAGTCCAGCCACTTCAGGGATATGCTATACATATACATATACATATATGTATATGCCATATATGCGAATAGTAGTGGCAGCAGTCCTTTGCAGCGAGGGTGTGTAATTAGGCGTGAAACAGCCCGCTCCTGGCGCGCCTCAAGATTGGGCTGGGGCCGTGTATTGTTTGTCTTTGAATGGCTCTTCCAGCGAGAGCAAATGTTGAGTATTGAGTATGGTACGAGTATTGTGTGCATGTTTATGGCAAATAGGAAATCAAATTCATATGCACACATAACATTATGCGAGGGTTGGCCATTCCCATTTGATTTCATTTTATTCCCTTTTTGCGTATAAATTTGTGTAAAATATTCGAGGGGACAGAACCAAACAGAACAGAGCAGAGCACACAAAACATCTTATAAATATTTCTTATTAAAAACAAAAGAGGCAAAAATAGATGGAGGGCACCAAAAATATATACATATATAAAAACCCCCAAACGCAACCGAAACATCATCATCAATGTAAAAATGTTTGGCACAAAATGTAGATATATAGAGACATTGAACCCTAATATTTCAGAACCTTCTACGCGTGGGGCAAGACGGAAGGAGTTAAGCCAAAGCCAAAACCAAAGCCAATGCCAAAGGGGCATCAAATTCAAATTGAGGTCATGATTGGAAAGAGCGCTCACAGCATCTTCTAACTGGCAGGGTTTTTGGGGGATTTAAGGGGTTAGGTTGGGAAAACATGCCAGCGGAAAACCGTAAAAGAAAACACACACAAACACAAGCACAGGAAATTCCAAAGAATAAAAAAAGGGCAGCCAAAAAAAAAAAGAATTTGTGGCTTTGGCTTTAGCTTTAGCTCTGACTCTGCCTGTGTCTCTTCCGCAGCCTCTGCCTCTCCTTGAACATTTGATTAAAGGCTTAATGCCGTTGATTTCTTTGCCATTTCTTTTGATTTAATACGCAATCATTTGCGGCCTACCGATTACATTCCAATGCCAATGCCAATTCCAATGCCAATTCCTTTCCTCTCTCACTCCTTTCAGATTCAATTTGAGCAACGCTGAGGAGGCGCTCTTCTCGCTGGAGAACCTGGACACGCTCACCTCGATGATGGTGCAGGAGAACAACTCGCTGAGGCTGCGCATTTACTCGTACAACCAGAAGGGACGAAGCGCCGCTTATCTCCTGCCCGATTTCATAATTGGCTCAACAGCTTACAAGACAGGTGAGTGGCACTGCCAGTCGCTGGCCAAAGTCGGCCTCGACCAGACCCCTGCCACCAGATGCTGCCACCGAAAAACGAGCAACACAATTTGCTTGATTGATGGATGGATGGATGGATGGATGGATGGATAGTCGGATGGGGGGCACTCTCTCTCCTTCTCCTGCTCTGGGCTTTTTGGTTTTGACACTTGAGCAGCTTCCCACCATCAGGAGAGAATCATCTGCTGCTTTCTTGGGTCTAGGCTCTGTGATTTCCTTCTCATGCATTAATCCAATGCATTCAGCAGCCAGGGCAGGCTAGGCCAAGCCTTTCCTCTCCTCTCCTCTCCTTCTGCTGGCTGACAGGTAGGCTCCAGCAGTCATCCGCAGTACTTACATAATCAACATGCCTGCCTTATGCCGCCTCCATGGCACAGCCATTCCTGGCTGCCATCAACTGATGGCGTAAAATATGTGTAAAATTACTTTTTGACATGAGCCGAGACGAGAGAGGGAGAGGAGAGGAATCAGCCTGAGCCAAATGGGGGCAAAAGTGGGAGAAAGCTAGACGCCACGGCACAGTGGTTTGAATGGGCGAGAAAGCGATGCCAGGAAGAAAGATCACAGCAGCAAAGCAAGGGAAGAATAAGTATAAAATTCAGGAGAATGTTAGACAGAATGCTGGAGAGTGATAAAGGTAGATCTGGTCCTTGAGGCGACACCAGAAAGAGGAGCTGGAGAGTGCCCAAGCAGAGCCATAGGAAGAGCTCTGTATTTATGCCTTGTCCGATCACTGAAGATGCCCAGCTGCAGGGAATAGTTTGGTGCCTGGCTGGTAGCTCATTCGAGCTTCCCTGCCACTTCTGTGCCACTGTCCATCCTTCTGCCCAATTAAACTTTAAACGCTTAGACATTCCGCTGCTTATTGCTCAGCACACGAGCATTTATGCCACACACAAACTCCCACAATATACGAGTGTACGCACATATTTATGTAACCCTCTTTGCTTTTTCCCAACCACCCACACACACACCCACACACACACACACATTTTCATGTTCGCCGTGCAATTCCTTTTGGCTAAATATAAAACCGTCAAAATGTCGACAAATTTAACGTGCTGCCCGCCTGCCTGCCCGCCTGCCGCCTGCCTGCCAACGAACGAATCTCTCGCGTTCCTTAACTACCACCTACCACTTCCATGGGCAATCAATTTGATGTGTGGATATATGCCACCGATGGCAATCTATCTAAAACCCAACGATGATTTATGAACGGCGATTGTCAACCTGTAATTACGGCCAAAACAACAACAACAATAACAATAACAACATTTACAACCGGTGCAAAAACAACACCAAACACGGGACCCGGATCGGACCCAACCCAACACCAACACCAACGCCAACACCAACAGACGACGACGTAACACTGACATTGTCGCCGGTGATTGTTGGAAGTGTCCTGACCATCATAATTATTGGTGTTGCCATCGCGATACGAATATTTGTGGTGACATTTGTGCACAATTTGCGGCGCAATCGTCATCACGGCAGCAAGGCAACGGCTGCCGGTGTAACGGCCCAGCCGGGGGATGTCTTCAAGGTGAGTTGTACGCCCTGGAACCCCATAGTCCCACAATTGCCGGAGCAATTAATATATATACATATATATGTGTGTATATACCGAGCTGTGTGTGTGTGTGTGTATTATTTTGTAACATTTTTGCATTTGTTTTTTTTTGTGGCTGTGGCAGGGCGGCAACCTGGAGAAACCGCGATGGCAGCACACGGACATTAAAACGAAGTCATCGGAAGATTTGGTCGAGGACGAACGTGATCCGGATGTAATACCATCGCAATATGGTAAGATCATAAACAGTTCTTGTCTCTCCCGCTCTCTCTGCTTGCAAGAGAGGGAAGGGAATGCTGGCGGTGCTTGATTGGAAAGACAGAAAAAATATATATCTTTTTTAATGGAGAATGCCATCGAAGATTGTGGGAGATGGTACTAGATATCTCCCATAATATTTCAGGGCAGAGTATCCCCTGTGCGACTTGCTGCAGGGTCGGCTGTATCCCCTTGTCCTTTCTTTTAATGTCATCCAGTCAAGTGTCCCCCGCTGAAGCTGCTTTTATAGTGCACTTTGAGCATTAAACTTTAATCAAATTTTATGGCCACTTTTCCCGACATTTACTTTCATGTGCTGTGTCCCACAATTGTCGCGCTTCGCAACGCTATCTGTGTGTGTGGCTGTGGCAACTCCTCCTCCTCCTCCTGCTGCTGCTACTGTGCTGCTGTGCTCTTTGGTGACCCGCAATCGTAATCAATCTCATCAACACAACAACAATACGACACACAACCCGCGCGGCAAAAACCAATCCAATCCAATCAACAAATGCAATTTTCTTTTAATCGTAAATATTTTTAACGATGGAACCCACCAATCTAACAACGCAACCGCACCGCATCGCATCGCATCACTCCCACTGCTCTGCCGCCACACGGCTGCGGATACGGATACGGATGCGGACATGGACATGGACGACACCGACCCCAAAACGTACGTGAAAACGGTCATCAATAAATTTCAATCAAACAGTTGGCGGCAGCAGCGCCGGCAGCAGTGGCAGCAACGCCTCCAATGTTGGCAGCACCACAGCGGGCACCACCACTGGCAGCAGCACTTCCACCGCCGTGGTGGCATCAGCAGCAGCAGCAGCAGCAGCGTCGGCAGCAGCAGCAGCAGCTGCAGCTGCATCTGCCACGGGAACAGTGGCTGGCGGTGGCGGCGGCGGCGAACGGGATGTCCATCAGTTCACATCAGCCACGTCCCTGGGAGGAGGTGTCTCCAAATGGTCACCCAATGGCAATGTAAGTACTCGTAGATGCATAAGAGATGGCCAGACAGCTGCCAGCTAGAAAAGGCTGCCCAGAAAGTAGCCACAAAATGGGGCGGGAAAGATATATTCAATGCAACTCTGTTAATAGAATATTCAGCAGTGGAAAACTCTTCTTGCCTCAGTTAAAGTCACAGCAAATTGAATACAAATTAAACTATTTATTCCATCATTTATCAGCACTCAAGCTTGCGCTTCTCTGCCCTCCCTGCCACTCAATAATGGACAGCCCTTCGACAAGCCAAATGGCCATCACTGTCTATATGTGACTCGTAGATTGTAGTATAATTAAAAATCCCACTCAAGTGTCTCGTTTTTTTTTTTTGCTACGGCATGGACGACAGCCAAAATGAAAGTGAGACAAAGTCGTTTGTCCTTCGTAGCTTTAGCTGTGCCTTTGCCTTTGCATTTGCAATTTGATTTGGCAACTGTTTGTCCGGTGTCCGGTGTCCGGTGTTCGGTGTTCAGGTCCAGGGCCAGGTGCAGGCTTGGCAACCAAGGACCAGTTAACGTCTGTCAGTTGTCAGTTGCGGTCCGTATTAACCGTGCAACTCGTAGCCGGAGTGCCCGGACACTCTCTGTGTGTCTGTGTGTCCCTGTGTCTCTGTGTCTCCTTTATCTGGGCAATCTGTGCCCTGCACTGAAAGCAATCAACTACTCAAATTGTCAAATTGCTAAACAGAATCCAAGGCAACCCCCACCAGCAGCAACAGCAGCAGCAACAGCAGCAGCAGCTGGTGCCCTGCCTCAGCCTCAGACTTCAAAGTGCTGGAAGCCCGAACACCGCACCGCTCGACTATATTAAAAAAAGCTTTTAAACTGTCAGTTTGCCATCGAATTTTTCTCTCATTCTCATTCTCGTTATGCATCCCACTCGGGAGGTTATAAATAAAAATCCATTGGCTAAATCGTGGCATAACGTGCCACCAGAACCAAAACCAAAACCAGAACCAAAACCTAAAACCAAACCAGACTGCTGCCAGAGTCGTGCCACTCGGTTGCAGGCAAGTGAAAGAGGTGGACTCTGCTCTGATCCGCTCTGAGGTAATTGTGAGATTTTTAAAACACAATATATCATGTTGAGCTTGAGCTGGAGCTGAAGCTCGTGGCCATAATCAATCAATTTCTGCTCCTGCCGCATTTATATTGAGCACGAAACTTGGCTGGGCGGCTGAAGGAGTTTCGAGTTTCTATTTTGTATTATATTTCTAACCGAAGGATGGAAACAGGATGGGTGTGGCAACAGGTGTGCCGTTGCAACAAAGGCAACATTAAGGATGGAAGAAGTATGGAAAGAAATGCAATGGAAAATTTAATTATATATATTTATAATTCTGTGACCACAATTCCATCCATATTCCATATTCGATTATTATTTCATGTGCTTAACCTTCTACGTTTATATTTTCTTTTTAATTTTTCCAATATTTTTCGCTGTTATTTATTTTTTCGGTTTGCTGGTTTGGCCAACCCCATCCATCCATTTGCGATTAGAGTGCCGGGACCAAAGCCAACGCCAAAGCAGAGCGCACATTTGTTTTCATTTCATTAAATTCGCAATTAGAATTTATTTATGGACTTTGCTGCTGCACACATCTATCTGTCTGTCTGTCTGTCTGTCTGCCTGTATATTTCGCATATATAATTTTTATTCGCTGACAACGTGGGAGATCCCCGCGAGCCATTACCATAAGCTCTGTGCCTGTGGAGATTAGAGCCCGGCCGTATGCACAGACCATGACCAATTGACTGCCAGTCCGCGAATATATGTACATATATATATATATATATATCACTAATCTGGCAAAAAAAACATGAACCAAAACCTATCCAGAACCACCCCACGCCACCCCACCCAGCAAGACCCAAAACCGAACCATCAATGCAGAAAAACCAAAAACAGAAACCCCCACTCGCGGACCCCCTCGGTCTACCCCCCCTGGCGCAACCGTGGCAACCATCGAGCGGATCCGTTCACATCCACGCCGCATTGCACACACACAGACACACAGAGAGAGAGAAAGGGAACCTCCCCCCCGAGATAACACAGAGAGTATCTGAAACCGAAATGAATCCCCTCCGCCACCGCCGGAGTTTTGGGCTGAAAGCTGAAAGAGAATTTTTGTGTTTCATTCTGTAAATGGGATTTGCTGCACAGATTTCAATTACATTTAAATTACCATTCCAGTGCGCCAATCTGTAGGGGGTAGGTTTTCAGTAGGTAGGGTGGGTGGGTGGGGTGGGGATGTTCGTGGGCAGTGGGCAATCGCAGCATAACTCAATTCGTTAATTAAATAATTTTAAATATTGCCAAACATAACAGTCGAAACGGCAATTTCACACCGCTCCTCCTGCTCCGCTTGCACGGAATCCCCCACCCCTTTGCCAGTCCACGTGAAAATTGCATTGAGAGATTTCAATTAGAATTTCATTCGAATTTTCGTGTTGGTTCACAGCATTTTTGGCGTGTTCAAGCCGAAATATTTTGGTATAATCATTGAATGTAATTTGATTGGCGCTGGGGTGGGCTGGCACGCTGGCACGGCTGCTGGCTCAATAGAAATAGAAAATAGAACTAATCGTTTTATTCCAAAATGGAAATATCTGCAAATGAAAATGTTTTTTTTTGTTGTTTTTTGCATGCGAAAAAGAAATTTTCTAAATTATCTCTGTCTAAACTAAACTCTTTAAAAAAAGATTATGCCTGCAATTGCCGTGTGCTGCGGTTGGTGGTGAAATTAAAGAAGTTTTTGCAGTTGTAGCTGCAATTGATTCCCCTGAGTGTACCCGTATCGATATCTGGGGCGAAATATGATTGCTTTTGCGAGATAACAAACGATACCCTCGAGAGTCGACGCATTATTAATCAAGGATATGCCTAGCTTCCATCTTCCAGCTGCCCCTGCCACCTGCATTCATCTCAGAATTTTTCGCAAAGTAAAATCAAACAATTTTCATGGCAAAAACTCCTGCAAATATACATGCGAATTTTACTCGATTTTTTCATGTAGAAAACTCTGAGAGAGCCAGAGCTGGAGCTATTTCCAGCCGAATGACTTTCGATGCACCACTAATGCCACACCATATCGTCGTGTGTTCCGTAACTTCTGTCTTGCAGGTGCTGCCCCTGACGACGACGACGACGACGATGCTGTCCGGCGATCCGGCGAATGCGACGGTCACCTACAATCAAATCAACGCGCAGCGAGCCCAGCTGCTGGCAGCCGTGGCGGCGGCGGGTGGTGGCTGCAGCAGCACCGTCATCTCGCCCAGCAGCAGCATGATGGGCAGCTTGGGGGGCAAGCCGCCACTGGGACTGGGCGGCACCATCATTGGCTCCCCAACGTCGCTCTCCTCGACGGCCACGCTGGCGGCCCACCTGCAGCCGGTGCACAGCAGTGGCGTTGGCACCCTGCCACCTGGCTTGGGCAGCGGCGGGGGCTACATACTGAACGCGTATGCCAGTGGGCGAATGCACCACCCACTGCAGCAGATGGGCATTGGCGGTGGAGCCACTCACACGGCCACACTGAATCGGCATCACCATCAGCAGCAGCAGCAGCAGCAACACCATCATCATCATCACCAGCAGCAAGCAGCAGCAGCAGCAGCAGCACCCGCACCATTCGGGCTCCAGCCTGCTGCTGGGCAGCGCCGGCAGCGTGATGGGCGTTGTGGGGCTGGCCAATAACACAGCCTCGACCACGACTACAACCACCTCGTGCAACTCCTCGCAGGACCTGGATGATAACATTAATATAAATGCGATTAAGGACTGCCTCATGACGCAGCGCGTGCCTGAGAGCTGTGTGTAAGAGCCAGAGGCTGCTTGCTTGCTTGCTGGCAAACAATTCGTGAGTAATTCCAGATCTACATATGAATGCGATTATGTGTATATGCGTGTGGGTAGGATCTGCTGCATGTGTGTATGTAGTATCTAGGAATACTCGTAATGTATGTATCTATAGTAGGACATAGTTTTTTGTCTCGTTAAGGTGCTGTGCATATCTAACCTACGCCTAAGACAGCGTTAAGCATGAACTCTGATGCTGTAAAACAGAGCAAAAACTGTGGCATAAAAATCTGCATATCTACATGGCATACAGCATATCCATTCCATTGTTCTATCAGATGGGATAGTTAACTGGTAGGATATCAGAAGGCAGGATATACGTATCAGAAGTAGTAGCAAATTTAAAGATTCCTTTGGAGAGTCGCGTAGATCTCGATTTGCTGAGCCGTCTCTGGTTTTGGCTTCTTCTCAAAAATGGTTCTGTCTTTAGCTCATGCGAACCGAACCTGCTTCAAGAATAATAATCTTCTATCAATGTTCAATGTCCTTGCCAATTTGCTTTGACTACATTTCCAGTTCGATTGGGTAACTAATATAGCAAAACAGAATAAAATGCATTAAATTAAATATATACATATATACCAAAAACCACACTCTAATTTAAGGAAACTTCAAAAAGACTCAGACAATGTAGTAGCTAAAATATTTTGTAGGAAAAATGTTCCCAAATGAGAAATGAGGAAAGAGAAAAGAGAAATTAATTATTAATAATTATATATATATTATAAATGTGTGGTACTACCAGTAAAGATTGTACATAAAACTATACTCCTGGCATAGTTGTATAGATCAAATATTAATCAGCTGCAAGGAACATCGCTTCTTTGTTGTACATAGGATATTGGTAAATTGGTAAATGTATATGTAAATGTTCGAGTATGTAGCTAAGTGCAAGTATATATATATATGTATGTTTGAGAGGTCGATTCGTTCGGCCAAAGGTCCTGCTTAGAGATGGTAAATAAAGTAAAGTTAAATTGTTAGCGAGAAGAACGATAAACTTAAGCCCCCATAGAGCATAGAAAACGGATGAGTTTAAACTAAAACTGAAACATAAGCATAAATATCCATAAATACGTCTAGATAAGTCGAAGAAAATATGTGAAAAAAAAATGGAGAAAATGAAGAAAACGGATTGTAAAGAAAAGAAGAAAATAAATATAGATAAATTACAAGAACCGAAAGGAAAGTTAATTAATTATTTGATGCCCGCTGGACTGCCTCGCCCCTCCGTGGTCGAAACTTATTTGTTTGCAAGTCGGGAACAAGTTTTCAGGATTTAATTTGAATTTTCGCCCTTTCGTTTAATCTATTTTGGACACATGTCCGAAAGGAATCCTTTTCAGCTCAGCCCACAGCCCACACACATGGCCAATTTAATTCGCCACTCAAACTCAAATATGCCACCCATCTCTGTGGTTCGGCTGCCAGCCACAATTCCCAACACCCGCAAGACAAACCGCAAGTGCCAGGCGAAAAAACTACTTAAAATTTCATATGCTTCTGTCTCCGTATCCCCAAACTCATTCCGCCTTCGTGCGGACCCGCCTCATTAGTAAATCAAATTTATTCGTGGGTGGTCGCCACGCCGCAGTGCTCCCACCCCACCCACCTACTCATTCGCCCACTCGAATGGTAAACCACATGAAACGTTGGACTTGAGCAGAATTGACAGCGGAAAAAAGGAAATTAGCTAAAAAATAATTGGAATATAGCCGTGTCAGGAAAGTAAGTATCAGGGACTGGGGCAAATATCCTTCATACTTGATAAGGACTGCCCCGGTCAACAGCAGGCATCGCACGTAAAGATCGCACGTGAAACAGCAGTCAATATTCTTATTGCTCTTAGAACCAAAACGATCGGGGGTATTCTCGCGTTCACGAGAAGGGGTGGCGAAAAGTAAGTATGTATGACTGGAGAAAATATGGTGGATCCTTGATCCTTGACAAGCTTAGCCATAGCAAATCTAATATCCTTATTTTCATTGATGCCAAACTGATTGATAAGGATCAGGGAGATCTCCTGATGACGAAAAGGCGTGGCACTTCCAGATCAGACAGCAAATGGCAGAGTTTGAGTCATATCACTAGGTCCCTGAGGTCCTTGATGGAATCAAAAGATACAGGAGACTTTTACGCTCACGAAGACACATATCACGTCTGGATCGGGCGAGAATTGGCGGAGTTCTAGAAATGTAATCCTTTACATTTGAATGTCCGTGTGGATCCAGACTGTCGATCGCCATCATAAAAAAGAACATCGAAGGAATACTGGTTTTCGCCGAAAAACGAATATACAATATGCAAAACATACAAAACTGAATAAAACTGCAGAGCTAAAAACGTAGCATACTTTTGGGGGGTGCGTTTTAAAAAAGTGTGGCATACTTTCAGGCTGGTCTATTGCGCTTATGTATTACAAAATTGCATGACATGCGTGCCCACGATTTTGGTCCTGGTACCCCGGGCCGGCCCCCCCATGCGTCATGTCCGTTCAGCCGTCCGATCATGTCCAAAACATGTCCGATTCATGTCCGATCATGTCCGATTCATGTCCAAAACATGTCCGATTCATGTCCGATCATGTCCAAAACATGTCCGATTCATGTCCGATCATGTCCGATTCATGTCCGATCATGTCCAAAACATGTCCGATCATGTCCGATCATGTCCGATTCATGTCCGATCATGTCCGATTCATGTCCGATCATGTCCAAAACATGTCCGATTCATGTCCGATCATGTCCGATTCATGTCCGATCATGTCCAAAACATGTCCGATCATGTCCGATCATGTCCGATTCATGTCCGATCATGTCCGATTCATGCCCAAAACATGTCCGATTCATGTCCGATCATGTTCAAAACATGTCCGATCATGTCCAAAACATATCCAAAACATGTCCGATTCATGTCCGATCATGTCCGATTCATGCCCAAAACATGTCCGATTCATGTCCGATCATGTTAAAAACAAAAACCCGATGTGCTGACTGGGGGTATATCTTCAATCGGCTGAGCCCACCAAGGACATAAAGGATAATAAGGATAACGCATTTCAAACGTTTTTCTTGGCAAATAAAAACGCAAATGTGTCAATGGTAATTTTTTCTTTTATTGCATGAGTACATCCTTCCACAATTAACATATAAAATATCAAATTCGGCTTAAAGAGTACGCTATGTGTGTATGTATATATATATGTATATAAAATATCTGCATAATTGTACTGATGATTATACACCTCGCTGGCGGCTGCACTTCGCTTTCCGATTTCAATTATCGTCCTGTGAAACTGGAGACGGACCTGCAAGCAAACAAAGTAGAATTTCCTTTAGCTGAGTACAGTATAATTATTTGACGGCAACAATTAATTATTCAATAATTATATGGAATGCCAAAGCACCATTGAAATTACTAGACCTGATAAATGACATTGGGCATTGAATAACATGTCTCACCTGCGGGAAACAAAGGTTAAATATAGGCAACAAATTAATTGTTAAAGGCTTCAAATGAAATGGGTATGGCTGTGGCAGGGGGCTCATTACGCGTACGGGAATTACGGCAACGATAAATGGTGTGAGCTGAGATTGAATCAGGAATTGAAAATGTGATATACAAATTCCTAACACTGGCAACATTTCTTATTTGGCTGCATGCAGGTGAGTATTTCAAGATATCAAAAGTTTGCCACACTTGAGGCAAAGACCGGAGGCGGAGCCCAGGAACCCTCGCCCTTTTTTTTTTTGTGTAGCAGTAGCAGTTCTTTGGCGCTGTGGCTGTGGCTTTCATGCCATCGCATAATGGAAATCAGTTCACACGTGCCAGAAATTACCCAGATACAAAACCACAGAACTAACAAGAAATAACGAAAAGGAAAACGGAAAAAAAGAAAAAGAAAAACCATTCCAGATTCGCCCTGAGGTCAGTAAATGTAAATAAAACGAACGCTCCGCCCCATTTGTCGGATCGGACACACACACACACACACAAATACTCGCAGAGAATGGAAAAGCCTTTAATAGAAATTGCAAACAGAAAGCAAAAAAAAAACAACGAAATGGTAACAAAATTATGCGCGTGATTTATGCTTTTGTTGTTTGCCGGCTGCCGACCAGTCTGTTTGTGTTTCCATATTGATTTTTCGCCCCCCCACCGCCATCGATGTGTGAAAATTAAATTCCCGTTTAGAGTTTTTCCCCTCTATCTGCGATTAGCTACGCGTCTGTCTCGACTGGAGGACCAACCAGGCACCCCGACAACGCGCATAGCAGAGAATTGAATTGAAGCGCGCATTGTGTAAATCAGCGGCTCAATAAAATCTAATAGCCCGGGCAGATTGCGGCTCGGCACGCACCGCACCAAGGCAACGAACGGAGAAGGGGGCGCGCCCGAAGACGGGACGGAGACAGGACGCAGCCGGACGGAGTCTAGGTTAGGTGGTAAACATAAATTACTAGACAGGGAACAGCGGACAGGGGACAGAGACAGACACCGCGCGTCCTTGACAGTGGCAAAACCAAATGGTTGGAATCCTAATAAAAGCAGACAATGAGACAGTCAGCTGGTGATGTCAACGATACGAATAAGTTGTACGCTTGGGAAAAAGTTTTGGTTCATAAGCTGATGAAAATGTTGTGATTTAATGGAATAAATATATAATAAAAAAATACTTATGCACTTGGGAATGTATTTACTTTAATGATTTCCAATGAACAGAGAGGTAGCTGAAAGGTAATTAAAGGTCTGTGAAACTATGAATTCTGGGAGAGTAAATGCTTGAACTAGAAATCAAAACAAATTTAAATCACGCATAGGCCCATAATTTGTAGTTTTCGATTGAATTACTATGCAGAATAGGAACCACAAGTATTTGGCGAATATTTATGTTTATTCAAAGAACACATTAAGCATTAAAAACCATTTTAAAATTTAAATAGAAGCCATTAAAAATATAAGCCAACGCAGAGATCAAACATCTCCACGAAACGGCTACCAATTGCAATTAAATTCATATTAAGCAACATTTTCAGATAAACCGAAGCAATATGGGCGATATACATAAATCTCCAGATTGACTGGAAAGGAATGCTGGAAAAAAAACTCCCCAGCTGAAAGTCTCCTGTTCATTATCCCAACTTTCTGACAATGTTATAACACTTGCACCAGTCCCCAGCCAGCCAAGGAGCCTGCCTTCTGCCTTCTGCCGCTTGCGTATTACCAAAGTGAAGCCGCTTTGGCAAATTAACTAATGACCCCATGTCGGGGTGGGATGGGTGTGGGTGGGCCATGGTGCCCGAATCGGGACGTGACTATGGATAGCATGGGGAGATTGTTGCTGGGCAGCGATGGATGGCGGATGAGGATGCTGGTTGGCGGGGATCGGGTATCGGGTGTCGGGTGTCGGGTGTCGGGGGCGTTTGTTTAATTGTCGTGCGACCCGCTTTTTGCTCCGTTTTAATGAGTCAATTTAAATTCCGATTTCGATTACGGCGAAAGCGTTTTTCGAGCTGCCAGCTGAGGCCAAATCGATGTTCATTAGCAGAAGGCGAACCACACTACCCTCTCCACACTGCTCTCACACCATTCCCATGCTCACATTGCCCCCGCGAGTCCTCTCCTACTTTGACCCGCTCCTTGCCGCTTGCTGCTTGCGCTCTTTATTTTTCCGGATCGCTTTGTTCCGTGGCATTGTCAACGCAATTAGCAGCCAGAAAGAGGAGAGAGAGAGCGAGAGCGAGAGAAGTTTTAAAGCAAATATTGGCTTTTGTTTTTAACATTCAAATGACTTGGCCAGCGCGACCAGACCAGACCAGACCAGACCAGGCCAGGTTGGCCCACAGTTTGGAACATATTTCACGCGGTCGCAGGCCCCACCGCGGGTCACATTCATAATTGAAACATTCTGCATTTATTATAATTTAAATGATTATACAGATTCCAATATTTTCGCTCTCTGCTTTTTTTTTTAGTGGTTTATAATTAAAAACCAACCGCAGGTTTTGTTAGCTAAATTAATGAGCAGCGCAGTGGCGGCGGCGCTCAGCTCCGAGTTTTTCATTTTCCATATTATTTGTGTTGTTTTTTTCGTTTTCGTTTTCCTTTCTGTTTTTTTTTATTACTGGCAATTTTAATTAAAACATCAGCGTTATAGTATTTGATTTATT